ATTTTTTGGACTGTCTGTGTCTTCAATTAACTTTTACAAAATTAATATCATCCGACGAAATTTTAAAATCAAAAGTTTGCAAAGATTCGTCACCAGGGGAAGTCATAGTAATCTACATATACCAGCGCATTTCTTCAGTAGATATAAAGGCCGAAAATCCCCAATGGAAAGGATGGAAATCATGAAGATGGCTGTAAGACCCATGAACTATAAGTTAAAATTTTTAATTTTAATTATATGTTTTCCTGTGTTTTTAAAGGAATGTTTGTAAACTTGACGGCCAAGTAGCCTAAAAAAGAAGGTCAGGTCGTCAAAAAGTTTTTGTTCTGGAACACGTGAAATGAATAAATGGTGTCTACCAAAAAAGGTTTTATATTTTTATTTTTTGGTCAGTCTGTGTCTTCAATTAACTTTTACAAAATTAATATCATCCGACGAAAGTTCAAGATTAAAATTTCGCAAAGATTCGTCACCAGGGGAAGCCATAGTAATCTACATATACCAGTGCATTTCTTCAGTAGATATAAAGGCCAAAAATCCCCAATGGAAAGGATGAAAAACATGAAGATGGCTGTAAGACCCATGAACTCTAAGTTGAAATTTATAATTTTAATTAGATATTTTTCTGTTTTTAAAGGAATGTTTGTAAACTTGACGACCAAGTAGCCTAAAAAAGAAGGTCAGGTCGTCAAAAAGTTTTTGTTCTGGAACACGTGAAATGAATAAATGGTGTCTACCAAAAAAGGTTTTATATTTTTATTTTTTGGTCAGTCTGTGTCTTCAATTAACTTTTACAAAATTAATATCATCCGACAAAAGTTCAAGATTATTCTGTTAAGTTAAAATATGCAACTCAGCTAAGATGTTGGATATTTTTATTTTTAAGGTGAGCTCTGCGTTGCATTCTGGAAAAAAAATTGTTCGCATGCCATGCTTGGCAAGTATACCAAGGGTTTCCTACCCCTGACCTAGGGCCTCAGGCTCGCACAAATATATCATGAAAATGTGCATTATGTTATGAATTATCAGGATTAAACTGCTGTTTTTAAGTAAACAAAATCTTATTAATTTATATAAAAATGCTTTTAGCTACTTACATGGCCATCTTCAACTGATTACAAATACGAAAGATTGGTACAGAATTTTTCATTGATTTTACAACTATCAATATGCCTTGTTTGATGTGCGAGAGTACAAGATTGAGAATGCGAATACTGTATGACATAGTGCCCCACAATCTAACCGAAGTTGGGCTGCCCTCCATTGGGTAAAGGTTAAGATGTGTGCAGCTTGAATGAGTACAGACTTACCAGATTAGCTCTGCAAAGTCATAACCTCAATGACAGGTAAAAAGGTTTAAAGGGCACAGGTTTTATTAGGACTATCAGATAGGCATGTAGATGTCTAGATTTATAAATTCTAGATGAAAAATGACAAGTTTAGGCATACAAAATTTTTTTACATCAAGGGCAATTTTGGATGAATTCTAGGCAAATTTTTACTTTTCCACAACAAAAAAAAACTAAAATTGCAAAATTTAATAAATAAATATAAGAATTTAGCCAAAAATTTTCAAAATTTAGTACAAATGAATGTGAAAGAAAACATTTTTGGACATAGGGCAATGAAAACTTTTGGCCACTGAGTGTTATTTATAAGTATGCACTAGTGCTGTATTTCTTAACAGTGGTAATATCTGTCATATATTTCAATTGGTAATGTTGTACAAAGTACAGTATGCAATAAATGCATTTTTTGAAACTGACTGATGTGACTCATGGATTACGTAATATGACTCACATTTACTATGAGCTAATACCACTTTAACTAAAGACTACTTGTACAAAATACATTTCTTCTTGCTTATTGGTTCACTTTTTCTACTTTGTACATCAGTTGCTATTTTGAACTGTTCACTATATTAATAGGATAGCTAAGATCTGCCTGGCATATTAGTTTTACCTTATCCTGTTTATTAGTAACATCTTTTCGAAATGCATATTTTGTTAATTTATGTACATCAGTTGTTTTCTGCAATTCTTTATTCAAACTCACCCATTTTTTGGGGGCTGCCCATAAATTATGTAATGCAGATATAGGATGGTGAGTATTCAGAAATCATTATAATGAATTACAAGGAGGTGGAGTGTTTACAAAAACATTACATAATAGTAAAGTCTTTAAATCAATTGGTGGTGTTTATTAAATATGTGGGAATTAGTCTTGTTGTTGTTATTACTGAATGAGAATATGTAACATGTTGGTTTCTCAGTACTGGACAGTATGGATTCACCAGTACCAGACAAGGATAAAATACATTTTATTAAGAAAAATTACATCTGTGACTTTCATTTTTCCTTTTAAGCCTATAGTGTCAACTTCAAATGATTTACAGAAAATACTTTAACAAATCTCCCCAATCTTCAATGAAACAATCACTAATGAGAAGCGAAAAGAGTGAAATTCTAATCTTAACTCTGCAGAAGAAGTCCGAAGAAAGTTCACAAAATTGAATTGCAACAGGAAGAAGCTAAGAATTAGAAGAAAGGAGAAGTCAAATAGGAAAATGCCAAATGTGAGATAAGCAGCAGGCCACTGGGCTAATCCCCTAATGACCGCTTACTCTGCAACAGGATGGTAGAACCCGATCTCTGATTTGTCGGATGGCTAGGAGGGCAAAAAGTGAGTGGGGAGTGTGTTGGTAAGTCGGCAGGTGTCCTTTAATGACAGGAGACAGGATTAACAAACTAAACAACCATTTATTTATATAACTAAGCTAGGATACATAGGTTAAATGCAGTTAAATACTTTCACTATACAAAAAGGAACGCTCTAATAGCTTTAATGGACAGAGAGAGTTCACAAAGCTCTAAAAATACAAATACCTCTATGAGGATATGTCTAATATGCATTCGTAATTGGCACGGGAATGATAGAATGGCGATAATCATGGAAGTTCAAATGGCTGTGGTCGGTTGTATGTCCTTTCGGTTCGGAATATGCACAGTTACAAGTATAACTTCCTTTGGTTTCCTAGAGTTTCCGGGGACTCGAGCTTTTATACGTTATTCATGGGAAATGAGTCACGTGATCCACGGTGCATTCCGATCAACTAAGTGACAACTTTCACACCTAAGTGTGAAAACAATCAGTGACCTCCGATATACTTCTCACCAAGAGTGTTTTTTTTTTTCATCGGAGTTGTTTACAAATATTTTTTCCCAACATCGGCGTAAAAATCGCGGATCTCACACAAATTTTGACTTGGAAAAAGAGAAAGGTTTAGTAAATTTTATGCTAGAGTCAAATTTTAGACTCATATTGAATGCCAAGGTCAAGAGAATACATATGCGACCTGTGGATGTAGATTATTTTGTTTTTGAGAAATATTAAATTTTATTGTTAACTTAAAAACATTCAGTGCTATTTTAAGAAGAATTTTTATTTAAATTTCTTGCTATTCATTTGAATATTTAGCACACTAGTAACTTCTAATATCTGTCCCAGTATTGAAAAATGTTTTTTTATGGTGTACTGAATTTTATGGTATTTTTTCCTGTTAGATTTTTATATTTTTGTTTCATTCCACTATTGAAATGCATGGCTAATTATAACCTGATTACATTATTTTTATGATTTTCTTATTACTTTTCTACTGATTTCTAAAATCCTTAATGTCCAGTACCGGGTGAACTTCTATTGAAATTCATAGTAGTAATTATCATCAATGTTGATCATCCCTATTTGATTTAAAATAATTAAAACAGTAAAATACATCAAATTTAAAGATTGGTATTGAATTAATGATTTACAAATGATAACTTTAAACAAAATTGAAACATTACACATTTACTGGAAGAAATGTTTATATATACAGTGCTTAATCCTTAATTAGTCATTCAGGTCATTGCAAGATTACCAATTGAATTAAACAATGTTAGATCTGCCATGCTGAACAAATCAATTTTTTCATTGTGTTTAATTAAACTGTGTGAAATTAATTTGTTTCTACCTTATTGCATTTGTTTGCAATACGGTAGAAACAAAATTTTTATTTTTCTTGTAATTTTTGTTTGCAATTAATTAATCAAAAGCTTTCCAGTCAGCAAATTTAGATTTCCGCTAGTGGTATGGTGCTGCAATCTTTGGCTACTCTAATATTATTTTTTTTGGTGTGCGTGTTTTAGCTGGCAGCACTGGCACGACCACGGGAGGGAACTTAATGATGTGCCATGATTTGAATGAATTTCAACATGGGATAGGTTAATATATTTTTTCGTACATAATCGGTTATCTGAAAAATCAGTTATCTGAACAACCCCAGTCTCCAATTGATTTGGATAATCGATGCTCTGCTGTAATGATTTCAAAGTGCTAAGATTTGATTGGACAGTTTATGTTTAATTCTTCATTTTCTGTGTAATTTTGCAATTGTTACTTTAGAAATGTCATTAAAATTTTGAATTTTATGTCCTATAATTGGAAATGCAATTCTACATGGTAACAATCTTTAACTTTGTAATATCATCATCTGTCCCTTTAAAAAGTGGAAAAGAAAGCATACAAAATAAAGGCTATGTCACCTAGTAAAGCAGCTTTAATTAATTAATAAAGCTGGTAAGCAAACCAATGACGTAGTCAATTTTAAATGAATGGCCACGTCATTGACTTGCTTATCCAACTACGTTAAAGCCACTTTAGCAGGTGACACATCCAAAGTTTTTAGATCTTAAATTTTGAGTTAGCAAAAACAGACCTCAAAACTACGTCGACTTATAGAGAAAGAGAATGCATTGAGCCTAAGGAAGTTAAGTCGAGACAAGAATAAAATTCAAGTTAAGGAATTTTGGTTTGTCAAAAGAATACTGTAGCATGCTGTATATGCACCAGATTATTATTATCAATATACAATTTAATACATTGTCTGTTCATTGTTTTAAAGTTTGATTTCAGTTTTTATTTTATATTAAAAGAATATTACATATTTATTAATTTTGCAGGTAAGGAAAACATCGACTTGAGTAAAGAAAATAATACTATGAATGAAGCAAATGTGAAATCGGGTCTCTCTGGGGAAGACAATCAAGAAAGTACTGTAATTAATGAAAAATTTCTTGAACCTTTTAAACATGGTATGAATTTATGTTTGTCTTTTGATTAATATATTGTAAAACATTTGTATGAAGGATAATCAGGGTTTAAGCTGAAAAAATTTTCTATAGCATTTTAGCTAATTTTACTAAAAAAGTTGTAGTAAAATTTTATAAACTGTAGCTAACATTTCTCATTCATGAGGCTACCCAAAAAATTACACAATACATTATTATTGTTTAAACATTTGTTTATTCTCGTAGATACTGTACATTATTACAGTGTACTGCAGTACCAATATAACCATAAATATATTGTTACAACCCACAAGTATCATACATTATTGAACAATTCTTGGTTTTGATTCACACCAGTCAACAAATGCTGAATAAAAATCAAATTCCCATCTTGGGGGCCATTTACCAAGATGTTCAACAAGTTGCTGACATTTTTTTTACATGAAGACAGTTTCTAATTGGAGTTTTTGTTAATGTCATCTCACCGAAACCTTTCACACGCTGCAGCGTGCACTGGGTGTGAAAGAACAAATTCGATAACTGTTGATATTTGAGAATAATCTGAGAGAAGGTCATTTACAATTATTATTTTATAAACTTTGGTCGATGACATATCCTTACATCTGACAGCAACAAATCTTTTAAACATATTCACTCCATCAGAAACTCTGTTTTTAAAATTACAATATTAACAATTAAGTATTCAATTATACTAGCTCTATGATGGCTTCCTTTTTTGCTAGACTTATTACACCATCAGTCAGAAAGAAGACAAACTTTAGAAAATCATATCTTTATTTTCCTGAGTAGTATGCATTTCGGAATTAATGCTCTTTTTTGTGTTATACTTTTTGAGAGTGTTTTGGCAATTGGAACAATTAGTTTAAAGAAAGTACTGTACATAAGAAAATAAAGTGGATATGAAAAAGTCCAATGTCTATTGTCAACACTTCATGGTGTTTCAAAATATATATTAGATAAAATTATTTTTAATATTTAATATTTTTACTTGTAATGATAAAATGCTTGAACAGCATCTTAAATACAGTAAGACCCTGCTCAGTGCGGGGGATGCGTTCCTAGATGACAAAGCACTTAGAGAAACAGTGTTAAACAAGGTCATTTTAACAGAGTAAATAGGGATAGGGGAACACGTGAATGAAAATAAAAAAATTATACTTTAATTTTAAGTTATTTTTATATTAATTTGTATAATAATATATGTTAAATAACACATAAACATATGCACACAGAAATGTATAATAATATATTAATTAGTTCAATTTTTCTATATTAGTAGTTTCATTTTTTTGTGATGAAGGTCCTGACTTTTCTGAAATTCTTGTTTTTTTGCAATAAAGTCATGAAGTTTCATTTGTCGCTTTTTTTTTTCCTTAAGCAAATGTCAGTAGCAGAAGATTGCATCCAAAATGCCTTGTTTTGCTTCTGCACTCCTTTCAAAATCTAGATCATTCACTACAGTTTGATCAACGATTTCGGTTATCGTTACAAAACTTTTACTAATGAAATCTGTAGAAAAATGTTTTAGGTTTTTCATTTTCAGAATCACTATTTTCCAGTTCTACATGGATTCCTTGTTCTGTCAGTTCTTGAAGGTTGTTGTTGATAGGACTCTCAACAGAAACCTACAGTAACTCCTCAATATCCTTTTCGTCCCTACATCTCCTAGTCTTGCTGTATCGATTAGGTTGAGTTTGATCAACCTAATGATATAGCGATAGGCTCTTCTCGTTGAGAATTCTTGGATACCTTCAGCCATACCTTCTTCCACACTTCGTTCATGCATTTATCAGTTAATTCTTGCCAAGAAAAGCCGATATTGTCTATGGCATCAATGATGATATATTTTTTCCAAAATTGCACCAAACAAACATAGATTTAAAGAAAGTACACCTTTTTGCCATGTTTTTCTGATTGGTTCATGTTCATAAATAATCGTATTATGTATGAATCAATAAAATGCCGCAATAATTTAAATCAGTGTAAATTTTGAGCTTTTTTTTTTTAGGCATTGAGCAGACTGTATTATATTGAATCAGCGTTAAGCAGGGTCTTACTGTACTTTTTCAGCAATACTTTAATTTGTTTAAATGGACGGTTGGATGGCCGAGCAGTCAATGTTCCCAAGCATCCTACTGCTCTGGGGAACCTGGGATCAAAACTGGATAGGTCAAAAAATCTCCAGAAATTTTTTGGGGGTGGTTTGTCTGGATATGTTGGGCCTCATCTCTCATTACCCAGCTGCTCCATAATGGGCTTGCTAAAAGAGGCTTTCTTAGTGCCCATAGGGTGGAAAGAGTTAAAAACAAAAAAAATTTTGTTTAAACAAACATTTTCAACTTCTTTTCACAGGTCTGTGTCAGGTTTAACAAGATTTGCACTGTTTAAGAAGACAGTTCAAATCTTTTTGTTAATTTAACCGTTTAGTTCTTCGACCGAGTTAACTTGGGCAGGTTACATAGCCTTACATAAAACTCAGTCCTTTCGGCCCCCCAAAAAATTTTTGTTTTTCTTTGAATTTTGGAATGTTTTTTTAAGTCTCCAAATTTTTTCAAAAAATTTTAAGGCTCAATTAAGGCTTAATTGTTTTTTAATGGGATTTTTTTTATCAAAATTAATTAATCGTTCTAAAGTTGTAGTGCACAGATTTTCCTTTGGTAAAGTTATTTAAAGCTAGTTTCTGATGTCAAAAACCACCTCCAATAGTTTTTTAATTTTTTTAATTAATAGATTTTATTATATATACGTTTAATTAAGTCGGGGGGTCGGAAATCGCAATTAAAATTTGAATTTTTTTAAAATATTTTAAAATATACGGCCAGCTAGTACTCACCCTACTACAAACCCTTCGCCTCCCGAGACTTCTATGAGAATGTCCCGGGAAATCCGATTCCAGCTGTAATCAAGGTCATCCAGCTGTGTAAACAATGACTCATCGGTGTCAAATTTCGCAGAAAGGCGAGACAAAGGAAAATAAAGGTTGAAGCTTTTTCTTCAAAATTAACGCATTTCTTTCGTTTTTTTTTTCAGTTTTAAGTATTTTTTATGTTTAATTACATTAATATCAAAAATTGCTGGGAACTAAAGGGGTTAATTGTACAAGTTTTGTTTCTTGCGTAATAATTTTATTTAGGCACTGTCACAAATGCATTTTTTTTTAATGAAATTTCGAGAATATTTTTAGTTATAAATAAATGAATTTGTGGATTCGACATCGTGTTGTAAATTGCCGAATTTTTGACGGTCCACCCGTTATTTTTTTGATTGCTTCATGTCGTGCATTTAAATTTTAAATCGACCGATTTTAGATTGCCACGCGTACCCCTTCATGCAATTTCCACTAATTGGGAACCACTGGTATAAAATAATTGTCTCCATTTTTGTAGCACTTTCCACTGACAAGTAAACTGTGGGACTTGGAACTACTGAGTCCCCCTCTCTTCGCGTGAAGCGGCGTATTTCTACCGGTATGACTGGAATGTTTTTGTCCGAAAGTATGTCGTATATCTCTGTTACAGCTATTGACGTATCGACACCTCACATGAGATACGCAGTAAGCGCACAGTCGGGTGCCAATCAGCCCCTAACTTGTGTTCCAGCCAAGTCTGCGATGTGTAGGGCCTCCTCCGCTGTTTGTGGGTCACAAGATTTAAGTATAAGAGTGCCTGCCCGCGAATACCGGACGTCTTGTATGCTTTCCGGGTGTGTGAAGTGTTGTTCCAAGAAGTTCCGCCGGGCGAAGACGGTTAAGGGGACTCTGACCCTCCAGAAATACCATGTAAACTTGCTCCGGGGGAAGCGACCAGCTAATGGAATGTAATTTTTCCACTTCCATTAAAGGGGCGAAAAAGTGAAGTTCAGTAAGATCACCGCGATCCGCCGAGTCTGACGGCCGTGGCTGAGGGCATCCTCGCTGGGGAGAAGCCCTTCCTTCACTCGGAAAAACCTCCACGACGGAGTACTAAAACACTCCTACCTTAAAAACCCCAAGGGTCCAGGGAATCTTCCCCAACAGGTTCCTCTAGTCTCAGAAATACCTGTAGCGAAAAACCTCGTCCTTCTCGTGAAGGGAAAAACCCTTTGAACACTATCTATTGATGATTAAAGTACGACAGTCAAAAATGGCGTCCACCTGTAACTGAAAACGAAACCGAAACTTTTGCTTGTCATCTTCACTTGACATTCGGACTTTATACTGTGAGGTGACGTCACAATTCTGACTGCGATCACTCCCCTCATTTACATACTTATTCGCTAACAATAAATTTTTTCTATTTGTCTGGCAGCCTATTTTTCCGACAATACTCGCTAACCTTTTACATTATTCTTTTTTACAATTTTCGGGATGTTTTATTCTTTTAAGGTTTAGCGAATTTAAGTTGTGCTCGTGGGGTTTTTCCCTCCCCCTTTTTCTCGGTGCGGACTTACTTTTTTCCGCTCGGGAACGCAAGTGTGCGTGAGTTTTTTTCTACGGCACTTTTCTCTCGTTGGTGAGTTGGTTTCTCTTCTATTTTTAAGTTTCTAAGGTGAATGGTGAGGAAACCTTCGTCCTCACAAAACATAAGCCCCAAACAAAAATATAATAAAAAAGCAAAATAAAAGTAAATAAAAATAATGCTCGGACTTGGTTCCTTACAATTTGTGTAATCACTGTATATAAAGATTATTTTTATAATTTTGCTGGGATATCTTTATATCTTTGATTTCTATTTTAACAAATTTTTTAATGTTTCTAATTAAAATCCTTTAATATTTTTGCTCTTCTAACATAATGTTGAAATTAATTTTGAATTTAGGATGGTCAAGAGAGGTTGTTGAAAGAGCCACTTCACTTAAAGGGAAAAGAATGTGTGATGTATATTATCGTTCTCCTGATGGCATGAAGAAATTGGTGCGTGTTTTTTGATTTTAATAGCTTATACATGAAATTGATAATAAACTGACTTTTCGTTCGTTTTCAGCAATGCCCTTGATATAACAAAAAGCAAACATTTTCAGCCTCGTTCAGGGGTTAGCGTCAAACATCTATAGAAGAGATTTAGCCAGACTTTCGCATTGCTGGAAACAACTGAACGGTTGATTTATTATCAATTTGTACAGCAGTTCCAGCTTTAAAGAATAATAAGTTTTTATGCTATATTTGTAATAATTGAAGCAATAATCAAATCCAAAAGTTAAAATCTTTTCTCATATTCTATTCCTCATATAACCTGGTAGTTACATTCCAAAAAAGTGCCATGTTGTGCAAATCTGTTATATGAAACAGAGGACTAGTGTGAAACATAAGATTAGATTCGAAAAGTTGGCAAAGTATACTATTCTTTTTCGTTACTAAGAGAAATGTGTTTATTAAAGAACTCAATAATTGATTTTCAATCAATAATTAACTAACAATCACAATTAAAAGTACTGTATAATGCTTTAATATTAATTTTAGTTAAATGAGGGTGTTTTTTTACAGTGTATCTTCATCTTCCCGAGTGTTTTTTGTTGTTCTTGATCACATATATTAGCAACAACTTCATTTTTTATTTTTATCATAAATTTTCTTTTTATGGATGGCAAAATAAAAATGTGTTATTAATCAAAAATTTGTTCTAGTAGGTCATGTTTGTTCAGTCAAATACCATGCAATTTTTTCCCCTCCAGAAATTTTTTGAATACTAAAAAAAAGTTATAAAATTATAGAATTTGCACTTATAAATTGTGAAATTTTGTATGGAAGATTTCCCAAATTCTGGAACTGTGTTAGGGTGAAGCCTTATTGTATGAGGGATACTTATACAATGTTTTATGTTATATATAGATATGCACATGCAGATTTATTATGTTTATTTTATTAGTTCATTTCATTTCTCTTCCATATTAAAGTAATGCATTCCTTCACAAGTAACTGCTTTTCTTGGAAAGAAAATAAAAAAAACCTCTTGTATTTTGGCCCTGTCCATCGTCAATGCATCAGATCATTTGCTATTGATCTTGTGAGCTGCTGATGATGGGCAAATTGACCAAAAGCATATTTTTAAAAGATTTTTTATTTAATTTAATTAAACTTAATTGAAGATAATTTTAATTAAATATACTAAATCAAAACTCTAGGCTAAATGGGCACTTTGTCATAAAAATTAACTAATTGAAATAAAGATTTTGTATAAATGCTTAAAATTTTCATATATTTATATATACAGTAATATCTCGACTTACGCTACTCCAACTTACGCAAACCTGGAGTTAAGCAATTTTCAAATCTTGTCGATTCGTCTTTTGTTTTGTGCCACGCAACTCTCGATTACTCACTCCACCCACACTATTGTTCGACTTACATGTTCGGACGTGTCGTGCGGAATCGACACATAGCTACAATTTATTTTGTGTTTGTTATATCTACGGAGACTTGAGAGACTCTTTGTGATGATTTCTTGTAACTGTGAACGAATCAAAAGACGAGATAAGATTAATGAGAACATTTATTAGCTTACATACATCCGACTTGGATTTTACACAAATTGGGAAATTAACCCTGACTTACACGAATTTGACTTACGCGGTTATCGCTCGGTCTCACCTATTGCGTAAGTTCGGGGTATTACTGTATATATATATAAAACACTAACCATTAATTTCATTTATTTTCTTCTAACTTCAAAAGTATTTTCAACCTTAAGGTCATCCTTGATGCTTCCATATAGAATAAATGTGTAAAATAGTGTTTTAGCCTTTCTCAATTAAAAGTTTTTAATTGAGAAAGGGCACAAATAATGAATGTGTAGATATAAACTTTTGAATAACTTCTTTAATTAATCATTATCTTTTTTACATGCAGCGTTCAATTCCTGATGTAATAAATTATTGTAAGTATCATTATAACTTTGGCATTTTATATTTTATCTAATAATACAATAATGAAAGCATATTATATCCTGTCGTAGTGGACTCTATGGAAGATACAAATGGATTGACATCCCACAACTTCACCTTCTATAAAAGACATATATACAGAGAACCATTCGAGGTTGTGCGGAAAGCAAAAGAGAGACCGCTTAATAAAAGAAATTCACCCACACAAGCAAATAATGTGAAGTCTCCTCGCTCGCCAAAACAAAGCACATTTTCAAAGATTGTTGGTTTTAAGAAAAAGTTGTCGCCGAAAGCTCAGCCAGGTAAAAGAAAGTTACTATCAAAGCAGAATTTATTACTGAATCCAGAAGAAAAACTTTTACATAGAGCTGTTGTAACCATTATGCCAGTCAGTATAAATGACAACAATTTTATCCAGAAAAATACAGAAAATAAAGTAAATTCTGGTAGTAAACTGAGAATGGCAAGACCTTTTCTTCCCTCACAGAAAAGAAATTATTCTTCTGGAGCAGATTCTCCATGTAAAAAGTTCAAGAATAAGTAAGTGAATTAATTTTAACACTTCTTTACTCTCTAAAATAGTATGCCTTCGTGTTTTAAAAGTACAACAACAAATTAACATTTCTCTATATTACAGAAGTCTCTTCATTCCTCACTCCCAGCATTATATTTTAACACAAAGATACATTTCTGGCACATTGCCCCTCATCGGGTGTCTCTCTCACTTTCCTCTGGGTTTTTTGAAAATCTCAAAATTTTCAGACCCCCCGAACCCAAAAAAGTAAAAAAGGGTGGGGGAAATTCAGGTGTATGCATTGATGTCTTATTTCATTTAATATCTCAGGATGGAGTAAAGATTAAGAAATGAAATTTAGCGTGATAGCTTGTATATAAGAGGCATTGGTGTTGTTCAGTTTTGGGGTATGGAATGTAAGGGACTGTGTATTGTATCAGGCAGGATCAGACTTAATGAAAATTTTACTTGTTGTTTGCATTTAAAATATTTTTTTTTAAAATCATTTCTACATCAAAATTAAGCCTTTGCCTTTTGTTATAATTAATGATATAAAAGTTTTTTCTTAATAAAATCCCGTAACAGATGTCATCATACACAATTTCTATTCTATTATAAACTGTTCTAAAATAATAGTCTTTCTTTATGCATATTTACATTTAAACTTAGAAGAGGTGAGGATTATAACAGGTAAATGTCAAATTTACTTAATTCTAATTAACATTTTTAACAGTAATTTCATGTATCACTCCTGAAAGAACTTTCCTAATTACTAGATGTAAAATTTTGTTTAGTATGTTCTCTGAATATTCAACTTGAGTGTGCTGTAGTAGCTAAAATTTTATTAATATTCATATTTATGTATTTATTCAAGTAATTTTGTGCCTTTGTTATGTTTATGTGGCCTTAAAAATTAGTTTATTATATTCTAAATTTATTCTGTTGCTTACTCTTATCTCAAACTTCCTTCCTGTTTCTCTTACGTAAATGTTTTTGTCTATACATGTACATAGAGTGTAATAAATTGATTTCAACAGAGTTTGTGAATAGTTCCTCTTCCCTTTTTTTGACTTTTTTTTTTTTTTTATCAAGAGTCTTTGTTGTAAATTTTTTAAATCAAAGCCAGAGTAATTTTATGCGTTTTAAACATAATTTGCAGTTTTTCAAATTAAACCTTTAATATGTGATAATTTTGGATTCTTTGTTTTTTTATCTATTTTTACATTAAATTAGGTTTAAAATAAATAATGACCCCATGTTTCTATTAACTGCTTTGAATATGTTAAAGAAAATCTTGACAAATGTTAATTATGTATAAAATTAGAAACAATTTACGTAATACTTTTAAAAACAATTATCGTCTATTCTTTTTCTTTCCAACTCTTTATCTGAGAAAAAGCTTATCCGTATCAACTGTAAACAATTTTTAAAATAAAATATAAAAATCTTTACTTACACTGTTGTCTATATTAAATAATAATCACATAAATAACCTTACAGTAATACATTACGAATGACAAACATTTTCAAACAGCTTGACAACCCTGCTTCAGGTCAGTTATACATGTGTTCCATTTAGAATTCAAATTCAAAAGTGTTTCAAAAACCAACTGGTGGTTCAGAAGTATATTTGAATACAACTGATAGTTTAAAAGCTAAATCGGGAATACACTGTTTCCGATTACACTTTCAAACCATCCGTTATATTCAAATTGCTAAATCAAACAGCACGTTCAAATATGTAAACCGCTCCACGTGAAATCCTGCTTAAAAAAAAAAAAAAAAGAATTCTGATTTGATTGATTTACTGTTGGACTTCGTAAACTTTATATATGAAGGAATAAGCAATGTAAATATCATTTACAACCAATTAGAATTTGATTTGCATTCTACATTCTACCAATTATATAAGTCTATCACATGTCAGAAAACTGGAAGTGCTGCTATTATTTTTCTCTCGCTTCAATTATTTAATCAAAAATTTCATAATTAAAAGTTGTCACTGTTATGATGGAAAATATGCAGATTATATTTTTCATTCTAAATACAGTAGAGTATTGATTATCCGAAACAATTCGGGACCGGGGTTGTTCGGATAACTGATTATGTACGAAAAAATGTATTAACCTATCCCATGTTGAAATTCATTCAAATCCTGGTGCATCCTTAAGTACCCTCTCATGGTTGCACCAGTGCTACCAGCTAAAATACACACACCAACAAAAGTAATATTGGAGTAGCCCAAGACATAGCCGAAGATTGCAGTGCCACAGCACTAGTGGAAATTTAAATTTGCCGACTGGAACGCTTTCAGTTAACCAATGTTTTGGTTGATCGATATTCGGATAATCAATGCTCTACTGTATCTGTGTTACCCAAAGCTAGTCAGCATGATTAATTTAAAATAATCCAATGTTTTATTAACATATACCAATTCTTAAGTATATTTTTAAATATTTAACTGTAATAAAAATCAATACAATCTATATTGCAACATAAAAAAAATTTAATAAACCAATATTGTGTATGTATTAGCAATGTGATTGCATTGCATTCCTGCTTGTATTATAACAAAGTTTGGAACTTGGCACTTTGAAAAAAGACAAGAAATAGTCAAAATTGGTGAGGGGTATGTTGCACACATGACCAAAATTTTCATGCAGGATTCTGAATTATTAAGTGTTATAAGAACATGTGTTCACACCATTGGAAAACCTGATTAATCTGATTCCATATAGTTTCTTGCCATGACTAGTTTAAATTACCAATGCATGACTATTTTCAAAATAATCCCCTTGGAAACAATACACTTTTGCCAGTACTTGTGCAGCTTCTGAAAGCATTGCCATAAGCCATTTTTTGCAACCACTTGTAATGCCTCTTACAGTGCTTTTACTTCATACAAAATTTATTCCCAACAGCAGACAGTAAACAAGAAGCATTGTCTGGACTTTTTATGCCATTTGCTTGAGTCCATCCATCATAAATGGCCAGAGAGATAGCAAAGTGGATGATGTGCCATACATTTGTGCTTTCATATCTCACCTGTTTGCTTGACTTAACCTCTTTGAGATTTTTTTCTCTCCTTCCACTGATAAAATAACATCTGCAGGGATGTCATTTAATGACGTAAAAGCAACATAGCAGGAAGTACTTTTGGCAATTGCTGAAGATGGCTTACATGTAATGCTTTCAGAAGTTGTATGAAGACTGGTAAAAATATAACATCATCCAAAGGGATTATTTTGAAGGTGGTTGTGCAACAATATTTTAAACTATTTAAGGCAAGAAATTATATCCCAGATCTCTGAAGTTTTGGATCCTCCTCTTATACTGTAATTTATTTAAGACTAATAATATAGTATTTATTTAATGTGCAGTGCTACAATAGCAGCCTTTGAATTTCCTCAAACAATAATTCTTATTAAAATCTGAACGTCACAATCATTAATCACATTAACTAGTGCAGAACCTGAAGTGGGATTTGAACCCACAATCTGGCAAATTTAACACATTTGGTTTCGAGATCTAATGAAAGAAAATAATGATTTTGTAGATTCTGTGATGCTTATATGGATCATTTGTAAAATATGTAAAAAGTGATACACTCTGGCATTGATTAACATTCAGATAATATCAGTTCTGAATAAAACTTAATTCTATATTATGTACGCATTTTATATTTATTTATTACAAAGACTTGAATTGTTTAATATAAAGTTATTTACAGTGACATAGATGAGACAGAGATTCAGCTATGTTCTGAACGTTGTGCTGACGCCCTAGGAGAATTACCATCATTACAATGTTCCATTTGCTTGTGTCTCTTTCACCCAAAATGTATAGATTATTCTGAAAACTCAACAGTTCCTTTTACATGCAAGGTAATTAATTAATGTATTCATTTTTTTATTTTTTAATGTTTACTGTTTACTATTGAATTTTCATTATATAAATAGCATTAAGCATACCAAACACATCAATGATAATGATGTGTTTCTTGTTATGACAAGGTTTGGCAATCCTTAATATGAAACAATAAACGTCCTAAAACTATGCCCTTGTTGAACATACAACTCTCATTATATTTAAATTAAATAGTGCAAAATCTAGATAATAGTCCAGTTGGAACAATATAGAATACCAGGTACCATTGTTTACTCCCATCTAAAGGTCAGTGACTTCAAACTCTACATAGAAAAATTTTACAGAAAAGGTATTAAATAATGCTATGAACAAAGATAGTTGCAACACATGAACAGGTATCAATCTAAGGTTGTATGTATGTTATAGGAATTAATAAGATTGAAGATGATGATACATAACAAAATAAAGTTTGTATACTGTGTATAAATATCAAACTATAGTACATGGTTAGAATCTACAGTTCTTTTTAAATCATAAATTAGTATAGTCTATAAATTCTTGCCATTTTGGTTTACTAATCAATAACATTCTATGTAAAATATTTTAAAATTTCTATTAGTTTCTTTACTGAATTATTAGTTTTATTTATTCAATTCTGTTTGTTTTTGTTAATAGAGATGCTGTGATGTCAAAATTTATGCATTACAAGATAAATTGAAGATTTTAATGAAAAACAGTAACGAATCCAGCCCAAAGACGGACGAATCATTAACTGATGATGAGAGTTTGGCTAATGTTTGTGTTCTCTCACCAGAAGTTGTTCTTCAACACGAAGGGTCAGACCAAGATGAAGTAATTGAACAACCGCAAAGTCAGAAATCACCTTATGGTAAGTCAATAAATTCATTTTTAGTATAAATTAATATAAATTAATGCAGGTTAACTAATTCAACAAGGACAAACAATCTCAATTATACCAAACCTTTTAAAATCAGTAATTTATCACTTTAATCAATGAATGCTAACATTTTTTACTACATTAAATGAAATTCTCAATGGAACATGGAATGTTATGTGCATCAGTTAAAGTCGAAACATCTGAGCTATATAGCTCAGATGTTTCAACTTTAACTCAGAGTCCAAGGTTTTACTGACTGAAACATCTGAGCTATATAGCTCAGATGTTTCAACTTTAACTCAGAGTCCAAGGTTTTACTGACTGAAACATCTGAGCTATATAGCTCAGATGTTTCAGTCAGTAAATCCTTGGACTCACATAGGTGGAGAAACAGAAAATTATTAAATTTTTACTGATAAAACATGTTATTATATACATTTATTTTTCAACTATTTTTGCCTATGCACCTTCTTCAGCATACAAGATCTTCAAGAACTGTTTGAAGAAGAGTACTCAGAAATTTGGTCACTTCTTCATTCAGTTTGGAACGACAGCTACTACTCAGAACTAGTGAGCAAGATCTGCAAACTGCATCAGAAATCAAAAGGAGTTTTCCCTTTTTTCCTTCATGACAATGCACATTCATACTAGCCAAGTCACAAAAATGACAAGTTGAACAATGTGTATTTTGTGTGCTCCCAGACCTCCCAAGTGACCAAATTTCTATGCATCCTTCCTCCAATATTCTTCAAAAGGCATTTGAAGATCTTTTCTGCCACTAGAGAAAGTGTAAAAAGCAATATTAAGTGCATCCTAAAGTAATTGAATGAATTTGTATATCTCAAGTCAGCACTTAGAGGAAAATCTATAAATTACAAAGACTATGACAATATCTCACAAGCATAAAGATTGTGGTATGAGATCCCCATAGCATAAGTGAATTTATGGCATTGTATTTTATTTTATTTGTAAATATATTTCTTTAAATCTTTTGATTATGTAATGTAGCTCAAACATTTGAATTTTAACATCAAAAACATCAACATTTAGTGATTAAAGTGAGAAATTACTGATTTTAAAAGGTTTTTGGTATGATTGAATTTCCTTATAAATACATGTAACAGTTACAACTGAATTATTTTCAGATGCATCAGTTCAGAATCCATACTGGAATACAGCTCCTGTTATTAGACAGATGCCTCCACTCAAACCTGCTTCTCAATTGATGCAACAACCAAGAGTCATTGGCAAGAAAATCTCTGTAGCAAGTACCTATTATCCACCTTGCATCCCACATAACTCACAGATAAGAATATTGGCTGTTCCAACTTCAAATCTTAGACTTCCTTTGAATCAACAAGTAAATAATTCAACGCCTACTCCTCCTCCACCTCCTTTAAGACTTCCTAACGCAAATGTGTTAGAGACTCCAAAGCTAGCTGCCATTCCTACTAACAGATTTATTGTTTCATCTGCTGTTACTACAAGACCAACCAGACCTTTAATTCTTCAAAAAAATTCTAATCAGTGTATAGTTTTAGCACCGCAAAATAATGTTCTTTGTACTGGAACAAACCAGCAAATATTAGGACCATTTCCTGCTAGTTCATTGCCACAATTACTAGCAATAGGAAATAAAATTGTCTGCATTACTTCGTCAAATCAGCCAACTCCAAATGGAAATGCCCAAGTACAACTTGCTGTACCTCTGCAGGAGACTGTGCAAGGAGTGGCATGCACCAAACCAAGTGTAAATATTCCTGTAAATAGTGAAACAAAATCAGTTACCACTGCGGAAGTTCCTTCAAGACTTTCGACACTTTTAAAAAATCCTACTCAGTGTGAAAACCCTTATAAAATACAAACAGATTTATTTAAATCAAAGTTGGGTGCATTAGGAAGTTTCACAAATAAAAGTGAAGTTACTGATAATTCTGTGATTTTAACAACAAATGGAAAACCAATTATTCCTATGACATCTAGTGGAATTAAAGTGTCAACAGATATAACTACTGTAGTATGTCATCCCACTTATAATTCAACCATATCTTACAATGCAGCTGTAACCACTGCAGTGAAAATGGAGACAACTACAACACCTGCAATAACTACACCAATGACTACATCTAGAGTAACTTCAGAAGTATTAACTGAATCACCTATTCCCATTTCTTCTTCTATACCCACTGCTTTGGTTCCTGCTTCTATCAGTCATCATTCTCTGCCTGTGAATCCTCTTCCCCCTCTACAGATTTTTACTTCTGATATCCCACAAGTCAAATTAGATTTTACGAAGTGCAATCAAAATATCATAAAAAGTCTTCTTTCACCATCCAAAAGTATAAGTTCAACCTGGCAAGAAGATATTGTGTCTACAGTGTCTGCAGACAATACAAAAGAACTAAATCCAGAACGAGTAAAGAACTCGGAACCTGAGACAGAAAAATTAAAAGAAAAGAAACCATTTGTATCTCAGACTGCAGAATTACAAGATCAACAGTCGGAATCTCAAACCACAGAATTACAAGAGAAACAATCAGAATCTCAGCCTGTAGAATTACAAGAAAAGCAATTGGAATCTGAAACAATATCCTTACAAGCAGAGAAACTTCCCATTAAAAGAACATTTGGAAATAATGTATCACATCAAAACAACTTTTCTTATTTTAGTGGACTTAATACAATGACAGCTTGCTACAATTGTCTGAATATTATATTTTCTTATTTGGATATTACAGATTTATTGAGGTGAGTAAAAATCTAATTGTAGTTGTAAAAAAAAAACATAGCATTTTAAATAATTTTGTTTTGCCTTATGGGCAATAAGAGGACCTCTTTAATCATACTTATGGGTTCAGACAGACCTACAATGGGATGACTAGATGGTGAGGGATGGGGCTCAACACATCCAGGACAGAATTTTGCACTCGTGCCTCAATGAACTATAATATAAAAAATACTCTCAACCATCTGTCCTTTTCATGTGACAAAATATGCAAAAATTATGGGAATTGATTTTTTTCTGCAGGTTATTCCCATCTATGTAAAGTTACCAAAACTTCCTTCTGGTGTCAATATCATTTGTACTTAACCATTATATAGGCAGCAGGATGGCCGAGACAGCCTACCACTCTGGGGGACCCGAGAACAAATTTGCATGTGTCAAAAAATCTTGGAAATTTTTATTTTTCTGGCTGTTATGTCCAGCAGCCAGAAAAATATGTATGGGTGTATATATGGAGAAAAAGTGTGGGGGTTGATGAGAAAATGATTTCCAAGATTTTTACATTTTTTTAGATTTGGGATCTTCAAATGTCAAGAAACTTTAAAAATTTTGGGGTTTTTTTTTCCATGGATGTTTGTGTATGGTATGGTTCACGATTCTATTATCCACTTTGTCAAAAATTTCTGAAATTTTGTGGGAAGTTTTCTGTATTAGAAAAGATTGATGCTATTATTGGGTTGTTCGGAAAGTAATTTCATTTTTTTCCATGGAAAAAAAACAAGATTTTTATAATAAATTAATGTTTTATTGAATTATATATCAATCATTTTCGTCAAATATCTGTTGTCATCGTTTCTGGTAGTAGCATGATTTCACATTCATAAGAGTTTTAATCGTTGCTTACAAAAAACTGATCCAAGTCATTTTTGACATTGTCATTTCAAGTAAATGTCTTATAGTTAAAAAAAATTTCTATAGACCAGAACAAGTAATAATCTGAGTATGCTTGATCTGGAGAATATGGTTGGTGTGATAGCATGTCCCATCTAAGTTATAACAGTTTCTGATGAGTAATCAAACTTGTGTGAAATTTAACATTATCGTGGTAAAACACTACACCTGTTTTGTTGATCAATTCTGGCTACGTTTTCTGTTAGATGATATTACTCAATTTGTTTACTCGATGGCAGTACACTTTTGAATCAATTGTTAAATTGTCTGGTAAAAGCTTCAATAGAAAAATTTTCTTAAAATCTCACCAAAGAGACCATCTCTCTTTAGGAACATGTGGAACCCATATATATCAAGCTTTATCCCAATATATCAAGCTTTGAAACGAAACCAATTTGTTTCAAGTAATCATAAACAGTTCAATTCAACATATTTAATTTCTTAGTGATTTCATATGTTGTTATTCGGGCAGTTTGCTTCAATCAGTGCCTTTATTTTGTTTTCATTGGCTTCAACTGGCCATCCAGAACGTGGTGCATCTTCAATATTGAAATTGCCAGAACGAAATTTTGTAAGCCAGTTTAGGCACTGTCGTTCTGTCAATACATCTTCTCCATACACGTCACACAATTTTTTTCTCGCTTGAACAGCATTCTTACCTTTTCGGTAATAAAAAAGCAAAATATGCAGAAAAATGCTGCTTTCGATCTTCCATATTTGATGGGACACAAAAAATTAACAATTGCATAAAATCAAACAAAATTTTTTACAAATAAGCCTTAAAATTCTAGCTGTCAAAATATATAATGAAAAATACAGTTTAGAATGAAAATGGCAAGAAAAATACGACTAATCCGTCTAGTGGTAAATAAAACGAAATTACTTTCTGAACAACCCAATAAATTTTGATGGTTAAAGGTTGAGGAGATGGGGAGATAGAGGGGGAGGTCAAGTGTACTATCTAGAGTGAAGTCAAACTTAATGAAGATATTACTTGTTATTAACATTTACAATTTTTTTATAAAACTCATCTCTACACTCAAAATTAAGTTTTTGCTACTTTGTAATAATTAATATATAATAAAATATCATAACAGAAAATCACAGACAATTTTAAATTCTTTTACTGGGAAAGTTACAGATCTCGTTGCTGGATTTTTTTTGGAGTAGTCAGGCCCTATCCCTCACCAATTGGCACATCATGGGCCTGGACAAATCCATAATGAGCTTGCCAAAAAAATGTCCTCTTAGTGCCCGTGGAGTAGGAGGAGTTAAAAAAGAAAACATAGCATTTTAAATTATTTTGTTAAAACTAAAACACACAAAACCATAAAAAGAATAAAATCAACTAAATTCTTTTTTATGTTAACTGAATAAATTAAATTTTTTAAACAAAAAGTATATACAGTGTATATATATATATATATATATATATATATACATATATTCACATGTGCAAGCAATAGTATATTGTGGTGTAAAATTTTGAATACCAAAAGACAAAAACAAAAGCAAAGCAAGAGAGAAGCAGGTTTAAAATACTGCAATTAATTCTTTCTGTTTTGTTCTCAAAGTGGTAATTAACAGAGGATTGAAGTCGAGCACCAGAAGGAAACTCTTCAACTTGTGATTCTGAAGATCTCCCTAGTATCTTGAGGCTGTTTCAATACAATTTGCTAAATTGTCTGAACCAAATCAGATGTGGTTTCTTAAATTGAGGTTATGTTCTAAGAAACAGATTGATAACTTCTCACCAAAAGCCAACAAAAGAACATTACATTTATATATGGCATTGTGTATGGAAAAGTGATGTTTAAGACCAAACAATCTGCCAAGATTGTATCGGGCTATATGATGGCTACATTTAATAATTATAGAGTAATTTTACCTACAGGTAGGCAATTAAGTCACCATAGGCAATAAATTTAATAATTATAAATAAATTATTTAATTTAGAAAGTTCTAGAAGAAAAGAATTAGCCCAGAGTTGGACTTGAACCAACAACTCTTGCATACCATGCAGACTCATTGCCAGTTACACAAACCTTGGTTCAATCTTTGCCTCCGGAACTATTAATAATTTAGATATAATCATACTGGTTACTCATGTTGCCATCTGGGGATGTCAGTTTGTTTACAGTGGGAATTGCAGGTTTGAGTCCCATTCAGTCAATTCTTTTCTTCCAGAACTTTCTAAATTAAATTTTAAATATTTATTTATAATTATTAAATTTATTATGAGATGGTGACTTAATCTTACCTCTAGGCGAAATTATTCTGTATCTAATTATTAGCCATGATAACCCAATACAAACCAGCAGATCATTTGGTATTAATCAAGAATTGGGTTATTTAATGTTTACATTTTGTTGTATTTAAGCACAGTATTCTTATTAAAGAAACTGCAACATAGTATAAATATCTTATATTAAGTAAAATTCTTTTATTGCAAGAATGACAATGACTTATTCTTGTAATGTCATTGAGTACCTAGCTGTTTTATAAATTCTGTGCACTTCCTTACACAGTAACATACAGTATATACCCAATTTTGTATTCATATAGGTACTATCATTCCTAAATTTTAAGGATTTTGACTGTCAATAAGTCTAATTTATTTGTACTTGCAGTATGGTAAAAAGGTCCTCTTACTGCTATATTTGCCATGCATTAATTCTAGATTTAATTTTTAAATGTGAATCATGATTTAACTGAACACTAATGGCAAGTTAATTCTTGAATTACAAATTAAGATGTACGCTGTTTGAATGTTTCATAAAACGATGTGGATCCATTCAATTTTTATGACAATGTTGAGATTTCCGAAGTTGAAAATATGAGAATATAACTGATGTGATAAATATAAATACATTTATTACAAATAATTATATCATCACAGTATTTCCAATTTAAAAACTTTATACATTTTTTCTGCTTAATTATTGTTGTTATTATGTTGGGTTTAGTGAATTATATCTGGTTGACACCAGTGGCTATGTACTATGCCAGACCAGAGACAAGATATAGCAACCGAAACAAGACAAAATTTAAATAAGTGTGTTAGTGTGTGTGAGTCTGTATTCAGGAATTTCCTAACAATATGACATGTATTCAATATAGTGGCCTTCTGTAGTGTGATGTATGTGTTTCTATTCAATTGTAATGTTCCCAGGCTTTTGTATAGTGTGTGTGGTATCACACCTGTAGAGGAGAGAACGACACGTACAATAAGCGCCCTATCCATTCTCCACAGATGCCTTATTTCCTGGGCTAGTTCTGTGTACTTGCTGATTTTTTCAGTGCGTGTGTTTTGTATATTGTGAGTGGAATGGATATGTCTATAATGTATGTAATTTTATTGTGTTTGTCAATGAGTATGATGTCTGGTCCGTTGTGGTAAATTATTTTATCTGTGATTATAGCTCTGTCATACTACATTTTGTGTGTTGTTTTTCAATACTGTCTGTTGAATGTATTTGTAGTATATGGTTCATGGATGTCTAATAATTTGTTTCTTTGCAAGTTCTTGGTGTATTATATTTGCTTATTATTATTATTATTATTTTCATGGTGGTGTAATTTTCAGGTAAAAGTAACATTCTGTATCAATATTCATTATGTATAATTTGTCTTTCTATTTGTTACTGCATTTGCTTGTTATTTATATTTTGCAACTAATTCTAATAATAATTATCTTAAAATTAGTAGGCATATAGTTCCTTTTCATCATTAAAATTACTAAATCTCCTGATAGTTTACATATGACAATTTGCACAGACATGTCACAAAGCATTCAAACAAATCAGAGAATTTGTAACATAGCTATTCACATTAATTCAAGGATTATCATTATGTAATCCAGTGTTATAAAGAGTTTTAAAAATTTTGGGCTACAATCACACACACCTGCTGTGCACTAAGCATTTCAATTTTTGAAATTTGGACTAAAAAGGCACAAGTTTTTTTCCTGGACTATAATCGGGCAAGCTCGTAGTGTTTAAAAACATCCAAAATTTTTGTCTTCTGTATTAGGTTCACCAGTAAGCATGGCCAAGCAGTTCTATTGCCTGAACACTGTGAGTTCGGTCGTGGATTTGCTCCTTGCCAGGATAGGCTGGCCACTTGGAGTTTTCTGGGTTTTCTCCACATCTGTAACACCTGAATAGGAGCCAGTTACCCTTAAAAAGACCTCCCAAAAGGCATCTCCCAGACAGATTGCCCAAGTATTGTTGCCATAACTTAACAAAACAAAATCTTACGCATCCCATTTGTCTTGATGGCTGAGCCAATTATATAATTTTTTTTATTATGAATAAATACCTAAATTAACTATTAAAGATGAAAGAATAAATTTGCACATTTAAAAATCATTAATTTTTAAAATAATAAACATTTCCAAAGATGTTTTGGAATACTCATCTTTACCACAACACCGGAGAATAGTAATATAATTACCTCTTTCTAACCTGTTACCGGTGTGTCTACTAACTCTTAACGATCCAAAACGAATCAAAACTAACGTTTTCGAACCCTTAAACGGTTCTTCTTCAGGTTTTTTCGAATCTCTGANGAAAAAACCTGAAGAAGAACCATTTAAGGGTTCAAAAACGTTAGTTTTGATTCGTTTTGGATCGTTAAGAGTTAGTAGACACACCGGTAACAGGTTAGAAAGAGGTAATTATATTAGATGTTTTGGAATTTATCTTCTGGTACAACTGCTAAAAGTGTTAGGAGAGAGAGACCATAGATGTCAATTACAGGAAAAATTGGATTTCTTTTTTGCTCTTTCTGCTCTGAGGGCATAAAGAGGGTACTTTTTTTATCAAACGTATTTGGAATTCGGCAGCTTGGTGGTGAGAAATGGAGCACACCACATCCAGAAAGACCACCCCAAACAATTTCTGGGGTTTTTCGAGTTCTTTGAGTTCATTTTCAGGTCCCAGAGTGGTAAGCTGACACCTTAGCACTTGGCCATCCAGCCATCCACAAAAATAGGATTAGGGAACTCAGTTCTGAAGTAAACCAGAACCTCTAGAACAAAAGCAAAGGTGGCCCCACAAAGTCTAACAAAGATTATCATATAGTCCTGAAGGACATATTTATAAATGGATTAAATAAAGGGATAATTCTAAGGCTAGAAAAATCTACCACCAGCTAAATTTCAAACTAGAAGCCTTCTCGAGTCAAATTGTGATTTTTTTCATATGCATTTCTTCGTTGACAAAGGTACATAAATTGTCAGTTAAATAGAGGCATTGCCACTACTTCCCTTTAGGTCAAACTACAGAATTAGCTGTAAAATAACTATGATTTAACTGTTGTGTTTAAACTCATCCTTGGATACAAAATTCGGAATTTAGTTTATACTTATTTTATACTGCATTTAAAGCAATAACCTGTAAAACTAATGCCAAAAACAACTGTTTTTCCCTATTTGAATGCTACCAGTGTTGGATTTATTGATGACTGACTGAATCTGGGGTAGGTGGGCGTTGAGGAATGGCACTCGACATATTCGGGAGAAACTGCCAAAAAACTTATCAGGCTTTTGATTGCCCAGATTTGATCCCAGGTTTTCCATAGCAGTCAGCCAGTGCCTTAATCACTTTTGCTATCCAGCCCAAATTTTTTCTCTTATTGCATCTTTTTTCTTTTTGACATTCTAATACAGTTCTATGTAGTCAACAGTTTATCGTAACTTATAACTTATAAGTGAATAGTTTTCTGTATATATGAAATTAATTGATATCATTCATTGCAGGTCAAGATTAGTATGCAAAACTTGGCACACGTTGGCATCTCAGCCATTTCTGGTGAGTGTTTCATTTAAAATAAATTTTTCAATCCTCATCATGTATTTTATGTAATTCAAGTACTATCTGGACTTATTCTTTTATACCATCGGCAATAATTAATTAAATACAATGATAAATGAAGCTTATTATAAAACAATGTGCCATGTGTTTATGTAGGGCAGTGTTTCTCAACGGGGGTGATATTGCCCCCATGTGGGCGTTTTTCCATGTTGAGGGGGTGATTAGTAACAATTTATATTTTGAGGGCGAAAAACAATTTTCTGGGCGATATAGTAAAACATTATAGTAAGAATAATTAGATATTTTATTCGTTATATCGTACAATAATTAAACAAAAAACATTATACTAGTCACTAGTCTATTCGATGCAGTATGAATTTGGCGTTAGCCTTAGCCCTCGGCATCGTAATTTTGTAGTGAAGGGGCGATACTACATAATGGTTTTATTGATGGGGGCGATACTATGTTGAAGGGGACGACGATTTGTTAGAGGTTGAGAAACACTGATATAGGGGGATCGCTAACTTGGAAAATTTGAGAATTGACTCGGAATTGCAATGAATACATTCATGGGTTACCTGTATCTTTTTCATTACAAAGTGGCTGCAAAATTGTTTAGTAACCTCCCACTGGGAGTTGCCATAGATCTGTTGTTTCTAACCTTTCATGAAAATAAGAAATTTCGTATACTCTAATTGGCATATTTGGATTATATTTGTTTTAAGGTAGACTGGGAAGTTTATTCAATTAATAATTAAATTGCCATTTCAAGTAAAACTTTTTTGAATAATTTCTCCATTATTATTGATTTTAGTTATTAATTTTCAATTTAAATTACTATGGCATAACAACATACAAACAGTCCAGTACATTTTACTAATCGGACAAATGGCAGGATTCTTACCGGGAAATAGGCAATTAACCTGCCGTCTTGTATTAAATTTAATAGTTGAAAATAAATAATATTAAAATTGAAAACAAAGTCTATCAAAATAGCAGTTACCATTTATTCATCTTCACTATTCTGGAATACAACTTTTGATGATTGACCTTTCTTTGTAGGATACTTGGCTGGTAACAACAGAGACATCTTTCATTTAATTAGATATTTCTTCATTTTTTAAAGGGGAATTTTTAAATTTGTCAGCCAAGCAGACTACAAAGATTGATCATCAAAACTTTTATTTCGCAATAGTGATTGATTAGTGTGGCTCTATCCAAGTTAAGTAATTGATTGATCAATCTGACAGATTGGATGGAAGTCTGGGTAGTGTAACTGGCAATGCATCTGCACGGTATGTGGGAGCTGTGGGTTTGGATCCTGCTCTGGGCTAATGTTTTCTTCCAGAAAGTTCTGAATTAAATTTATTTATTTCTAATTATTATCCTTAAAGAAAGATATAGTCTAGTTGCCTCTCGTGCCAAATTGCTTATTATCTTGTTAATTAATTAGCCTTGATATAGCTCATTAAAAATCCAGCTGTCTGTTTAAAAAGTACTATGGCACTTGTTTACAAATTTCTTTCTTGGTAAGTCTTGAAAGAACTTCAAAATTACAGTTGTAGGTGTTGTTGTTTAGCTCCTCAAAGTATATGCAATTGAATTCATATATCTGTCATTGCAGTGGAAAAGCATCTGTTTGAATCATTTATGCATAACCAACTGGAAAAGATTTGCCGTAGCAGTTGACATTCACAACACAAGATATCTGGTAAGTCAGAATATTATATTTTATAGTAATCCACTAAATTTACTTTTACAATTTTTGACATTTTCACAAGAATTTGTATTAATTTTTAAGGATATGAAAGGGATGAAGAGCAAGGGGAAACCTTACGACATGTGGAGAAGTTTCGTTGATTATCTGAACTATTTTGAAAACATCACTTACATTGATCTGGGTAAGGTGCCCACTTTTGTCGTGTATGGCGTTGCAGAAATCCTATTGAATTTGAAAACCCTGAAGGCCGAATGCATTCAGTTAGGAAGAAGGTAAGCTTTGCAGCAAAAAAAAACATAAATTTTTGGTAATGAATTTAATTAAAACAGCAATAAATCTTTTACGAATTTGTTAAACTGCAACTTTCTCATTTCTAGAGATTCTTCCAATTGCCCCATCAACTTCAGTCTGTTGAAGAAGCTATTGAAATTGGAATTACTTCAGCTTAATGCTGTGGATGGTTTTGTCACACAAAACAACAATTATGGATTGATGCCTCTTCAGAGGTTTATCAAATTAAAATGTTTGGTAATTTATTACTTATTTTTTAAAATTAACTATAAAGATTTAAGTCCATTCATGTTGTGCAGCAATCTGATCCATAATGGATCAGATTGCCGCACAATAGATACCACTGCTTCTTGCTATGCTGTAATATTTGTTGATTTGTCAAAATTCAAACTGAAATATTAAAAACACAACAATTTAAACAGATTTTTCTAAATTTTCACTTAATTTGTCATAATTTTAGTTTGTTTTGATTGGATATGGCAACACAATACAGGAAATCTGCTAAGGGGGAGTCTCCTAGGAGGAGTTTCTATGGTAAACTAGTCCCTATTTAGGTGTTAGATGAGTGAAGAAAATTCAGAGATGTTTTCATTTAGTATATTTAAAAGTCAAATCAGTTTCTTTTGCCAATTCGGTAGTATTAAATGTTGTATATGTAAGCCTAAGCTTCATAGCACTATCAGATCTTTTGACAAAATACCTCGCTGTTACTTAGCAGTTGTAGTTACTCTTGGATGTTTTGGTTTCAGAATGTAGTTAAAAGGCAACTACTTGCTAATGACTACATTAACTGTTTAATGATCGGAAAACATTTTAGCTTCTAGTATAATAGTTTATAACTTGTACATGTGTGTTGTCATAGATGCATTTTCAGTTTGTGTTGTAATGCATTATAATTCTTCCCTTTTAAAATAACGGGAAATAAGTATTTAATCGATGTTTTCCTGCAGAACATCCGATTTGAGGGAACAGATTACTGATGTTAAGCAGCAGATTCCTGTGTTTAATTGGGTTCCTAAAGAGGAAATTGAATGAAAAGTTAAAAGAAATGTTAATAAAGTCTACTTAAATTTGGAAATATTCTTTTCCTTCAATTGCTGAATTTATCAAATCATTCAAAAAATTATTTTCTGTAGAGCATTACGACTCTGAAGAACATTGAAGGTGAACATTTTAAATTTCTGGAACAGTTAAAACTTCTGGAAGTCCTAGAGATAGGGGATTGTTACAACTGGAAGAGTGAAGTAAGTACTTCTTCTGTCGGCAGATAAATAAAAACAAATGAAATAATTAACTCTTTGTATTTATTTTGTAGAACTTTCTCTGCCTCAGAAATTTTACAAAACTTCGAAAGTTGCGAATTGAGAAAATGGGATCGACCGAAGGGCTAGTCGAAGCGTTATCAAATTTAACTGTGTATGTGATGCTCTTTTACTCGCCCATTTATAAAATTACTTGGTATCATTACTTAAATGTTGTGTTTTACAGATTAGAGAATCTTCATCTGATATGTTGTAAGACTCCTTCCTCGTTAGGTTCTGCTCTTAAAAATTTAACAAAGTTGAAGGTTTTGTCGATATGGCCGGATGCATCATCTTGTGTGAGTATACTTTTGGCATATTTGTCCTTAAAATTATGATTTTGATATTATTACAAGAATCAAATGAACGGTCAGATTCCTTTATTGCGTAATTGCTTGATATTTGAAATAATTACTAGATTGGTTGTATTTTTTATTACAAGAATTTGATTATAAGAGACAGCTATGATTGATAATGTAAGAGTGGATCAATAAATAACTACTTAATAAGAATTGAATGAAGCAGAAAATGCAGATGCGCTATGCACAAAAGGTATATTCCTATATAAGGCAAATGTTCGTAACCTTAGACATTTGTTTGCGTGATTGCAATGGGAAATGAAAGTGTCCAAAGTTGAACTGTGTGGCATAATCAGGTTTCTAGTCACTGAAGTTTGTGGTCTCACTGCAATTTATCAATGAATGCAACAAGTGTATGGTCTATACATTCTAAATCTTGTTAGATTAGTATGTTTGGACAAAAAATTTCAGAAAGAACTGACAAACATGAAGGATTTCTTCAACATGCAGCTACACTATAGAATGTGCAAATGGCAGACCTTGCGATCACAAACAGATGGTACTGCATGACATTGCAGCTGCAGCAGGACCAAGTTTCGTGCACACAATTGTGTATAAACATTGCATTTCAGGAAAGTGAGCACACAGTTGGTACCTTATGCTTTCAATGAAGAATAGACCCGGGCTTGTCCTTGGAATATCTCGCATGTTTCACCTACGGTTCTAACCTGTCACCCTGCAACTTTTATGTTTTTGGAAAACTGGAAAAAGCACTTAAGGCTCTTTGATAGATGTATTTATTGCTGAATTATTCCAGTCCCGCATTTGGTGTTGAAAGAACTTAAAGGCAGTGATTTCCCTCAGACACCAAAGTGCAAGTTGCAATCCAGAATTGGCTCCACCAGTGTCCCAATAGTTTGTTGAACAAGAAGACTTGTGTCGCGGTGGAATAAGTATCTGAACAACTGGAGAAATTTCTGTTAAAATAAAATGTTTATATTCCATGCTGTTGCTATTGGCTGGTTATTTATTGATCCATCCTTACACTTTAGTTGTTTTCTGGTTTCCCCTCTTTTTTTTTTTAATAATGTTGATTTTTATAACAGGCTTCTGCCACTAATTCCAATACTCTACAAGCAGTTACTCCCTTAAAAACTTTACAAGAATTTTGTTGGGTGATATTGTCGGCGGACAATACTCCGGGAGAACCTTCCGATGAAGAAAAGTTAGAAAATTGTGCCGAGTGTCAAGTGAACTTCGAAGACTCGAGTCTGTCGTTACCCTTTAGGGACGAGGGTTGCAAAAATTTAAGAGAAACAAAAAAGTCCTTGAACAAATACATCACAATCAGTGAACTCAGAGACAGTCTGAGCAAAGAGTTACCTCAAACAAAAATAAAATTCTTTAGGGTACCTCTAATGCTCTTGGATAAATATTGTGCCTTGAAGTAGAATATCTCATCTAGTCATTACGCATACTTAAATTATCGAAAAATCAAAAACACTATGTATAGAATCATGGATGAAAATGTTTCCAGTGATATGTATAGCTCATAGTTCAAAGAACTTGGTGATGGAGTGTATAGTATTTGCAATACGAAGAGAAAACCACAAGAGGTATTTTTTTTGATGTTTCGATTCATTTTTATCCCGAAGAAAACTTTGTGTAACTTTCATTTAGATTCATGCACAGGGTAAAACCATTCACACTTAATCATAACTCGTCGCAATTCGAAACATTATTACTCTCGAAACTAAAGTTTCGTGTTTGGATTGCGGCAATGCATTCCATAGAATTGACAAAATCATGGTATATAAAACTTATGTATTGTAAAAAGTTGATTATTGTTTTTATTTAGAGTGCATATTGTAAAAGAAAATTATACACACACACACACATATATATATATATATATATTTCATTTGTAAAATGTAAAACAAAATTTCTCATCTAATAAAATATCACTGCTATTATTTATTGCTTTCAAACGGAAGTAATTGTCTCAATAAAATTTATTTTCAAAACAATCAAATTCATTAAACCATCAGTCGTATGCTGCTTGTAACAATTAGTAAAATTTATTCTGACTATGAAATACTGTATGTACAAATTCTATCCATAAATTTACAAATTATGCAATGCAAATCAATTTGAGTTTGTGTATTTATTATGCAAGGAACTAAGATAAGGTGAAATTTTAGTGTGGGACAGGGATACATATCAAGCAAACATCATAGAGATTACTTATTAAAAACCTTATGTGGTGTAGTTCATATAGATGTACTGTACATATAACGAAAACATTTAACTGTATCTTTCCTACCTTAACATTGAAGAGGTATGGTAAAATACATTTTAAATAAATTTGTTTTTACATTAATTTGTTTTACATTTTAAATAAATTTGTTTTTACATACATTGCCATTGCATACTGTTAGCGTTTACAAAATTTTCAGCTTTTTTATAATCTTATGGGATATTTGTCCTTAAGTAGTACTGTATTTTGCGGACTATAAGACGCACTTTTTTCTTCGAAAAATTGCCTCCAAAATTCAGGTGCGTCTTATACTCGAAATTAATATAAAAATGTCCAGTGTTTGATTTAAAATTCCCGCCAGTCTTAAAAAATGGCCATATATTTGATGCTGTGGGAAACCTATCTCTATCTGGCAACAGCAGTGCACCGATGCGACAAACATGAGTTGCAGGGATTCACAAGTTTACTAACACTGTCTCCCTCCCGTCCCACCATCACAAACCCAGAACATTGTCTAGCCTATGATGCGTCATTGCAGTCTACGGTGCCAGTGAACTTGAATTGAAGGTGATTTGTGTTATCAATAACAATACAATATTTTTGTTAGTAGCTAGTTTCGCAATGGAAAAAAATAAAAGATATTCATATGATGCGGGCTATAAATTGAAAGTAATAGCATATGCAGTAGAACATGGAAACAGAGCAGCTGAGCGGCATTTCAGCCCTCCGCCAACAGAAAAAAACCATTTGCGATTGGTGGGCTGGTAAAGAAGAATTGAAAAAAATGAAGACTAAATGTGCAATTAGAGGACTGAATGCAAAATGGCCAAAACTAGATGATAATGTATTGAAATGGATTCAAGGACACCGTCAAAATGGCATTGGAATTAATAAAAAATTATTCAAATACACGCTCATAAGCTAGAGCTACAGTGGAACTTAACAGACTTTAAGGGTTGGTTGGTGCTACAGGTTTATGAAGCATCATGGACTTCGCATGCAAACCAAAACCAAAATATCTCAGATGCCACAAGAGTATAAAGAGAAAATGTTATCTTTCCATCGCTTTATTATTCAACCTCGAAAGAAAACCAGTGTGGAACTAATCCAAATAGTGAATAAGGACAAAACTCCTCTGACATTTGATGTGCAGAGTAACAAAACTGTTGCCATGAAAGGTGCTAAAACTGTAACTATAAAAACAAGTGGACATGAAAAAATGCACTACACTGTTGTTCTTTCATGTTGTGCTGATGATACTAAACTTAATCCAATGATCATTTTCAAGCACAAAACAATGCCAAAACCTTCTGAAATACCACCAAAGTTACAAAGATTATTCTCTCTTTTACTAGCCTTGAATATATGTCATAAGCACACTCACCAAGTGTTGTTGTTCACGTACATGACAAGAGTTGGATGGACGAGGCTGGTATGAAATTATGGATTAACAGAGTGTGGATGAGAAGGAAAGGTGCTTTATTGAAGAAGAGTTCTCTTCTTGTGTTTAGTAGTCATTTTGAAAAATTCTGTGAAAGAGAAATTGAGACAGGGAAATACAGAGCTTGCTGTTATTCCAGGACTTATTTCACAATTGCAACCTCTTGATGTCTCAATAAATAAATCATTTAAAGTGTATATGAGAGAGGAATGGAACAAATGGATGATGGATGAAACCCAACATGAATTCATGCCAAAGGGAGCTTTAAAACGACCTACAATCGAACAAGTGTATCAGTGGATAAAACAGTCATGGTCTAGAGTGAGAGAAGACATTATTGTTAAATCTTTCAAGAAGTGCAGCATAAGTAACACTCTCGATGGCAGTGAAGACCATCTTATATATGAAGAGGAAGAAGAAAGTTCAGATGACAATTTTCAGGGATTTTAAAGGTCAGTTTGGTTTTATAAACTAAGAATTTTTTTTTGCAATCTAATAATAATAATAATAATGGTAAAAATGTTAATTTTTTTAAAAATTGCTTAAAAATTAAGGTGCGTCTTATAGTCCGTAAAATACGGTATTTACCTGTTGTCATTTAAACATAATTAGATTATATGCATACAAATACAAGCTTGCATCAATCATTTAGAATAGTAATTTACATTTGTATCATATACAAATGTGATTTTTGTGTATTTTTTATTTTACACAACTTACAAGATTCAACTCAGTAAATAATGTAAAGAAAATGTAAATTGGATTTTAAACTTCTTTTTTAAATGTTTAAGAATCCAAGACACTAAAGTTCATTAAAAACACTCTTTTGACCTTTGAAAGGTCAAACTTCATTATCTTTTAGATTAGTTCCCAGTGATAAAAATTGATTTGATATCTAGGCAGATTGCAGATAAACACACGTGAAATAAACCAATATCCAGTGTTTTAAAAGAAAAAGAATGTAGATTTTAATTTAAATGTTCCGCAATTATTACGAATATCGACCGAACAACACTGCCAGAATCTATCTTGTTTGTACGGAGGTAAATGGTATTATTGCTCTCTTTACAAATACCAATAGAGAAGATTTGTGGATGTTACTGTAATTAATTGATTTAATTGTGAAGTATGCAGTACTATTATCCAGTTTCATTAACTTTGAGAGCCATTGCAGTGATCCACAGAGAGAACTATTTCAACTTACTCTATAAAAAATCACCATGGACATGATTTTTTTATAGGAGAGTAAGTGGAATTCTGGCATACAATTTATCATCCTATCTATAGCATGTACTCCAAGTTTTAGAAAAATGACTAGGTTGGTCGACTGTCAGATCGACCCAATGGGATGAGGTATAATATGGTTCTTGGATAACCTGTGGTCCACGGACCATACCATATTATTAATATCAGAAAATAAACATCATAATCTTTAAAAATGTAACACTGATTCATTAATATGAGGCACAGGTCCATTAATGCTGTATAATTTCATCCATAATTTCACTCACTCATTGGAGGAAGGAGCAATCTGCAATGAAGTCAGCCAGAATAGGCAGAGAGGGTAAATGACTTCTGACTAGTATGATCTATAATAAATTATGGTGGTTTAGATTGAATTTTTTCAGATCAAGGCAATTAAAGTGTTGGCACTGCTATGAAGACCCAGTGTTCTTTGAGGTTTTATTTTGTGAGAGATCCTGTCCATCATAGTTTGGTAGTGCTCTACAATAAGTCTCTGCCACACACGTAATATTATAGGTCAGTATGGCACTTAATGTCTTCACGACCAATGAACCGATTTGGATAAAATCTAAAATAGCATCCATGGTGAGTACTATGGATGTCTAAATTTTGAATAAATTTGCTGCATTGTTTTGGACTTATCAGCATTTTGTCACCTAGATTTACAAGAGAATTGCATCATAAAGCCACCAAACGATATAGGAGTCTGCATATGTTTAATTGGTGGTGGTTAGCTTTCAAACAAACTATCTGCCCTTTTGAAGGTTTTATTTAAAAATATTGAGTATTTATGAAATAGCCCATTTTTTAAATTTTAATTAACATATTAGCCTGCACTACATCATGAGCTATCATGTGATCTCAGATGATAGCTCATTATGACTACATCTTGCAATTTCTTTTAATCTATATTTATTAAATCATCAGATTTGTATTAAGAATATTTATAAAATATAATTTTTTAAAAATTTTGGCATATTATTGGTCAATCAATTACCATATGGCATGATACTAAATTATCACATGATTGTCAGGTGAATATAGAATTATGAAAGCTATTCTATTATGAAGTTGTTGTTGATAGAAAATACTTGAAACCATGCCAGAAGTACAGTACATTTCGTACTTCTGGCAGTGTGTCGACGAATGAATGAAAATGTTTGCAGAGTCATCACTTAGCTACTGAATCAGAACAGCAGGATGAGCCAATTTGCAGCATGCACATGCCCACTACTGCACCATCTTTACAACTACATAATGACAAACTGTTCACTCACAGAGTACATATGTTTGCATTTTGATGCTCAATTATCGGTATCACAGCGTGGTGGAGTCGGTAATCAAGTCTTCCAATTTTCCCACGTTACTACGCTCGTTTAAATTAATAGAAGCTACTTTCTGGAAGTACATAGAACGTCGTGTGCGATAACATGTAAATTTTTATTGTGTAATGGCTTTATAGATAAGTTTGGAGATATCAAAATAATAATTCATTGAAGGGTTCATTTTCTAAGAAATCTTAAGTATCAAGTATTCTTTGTACTTCAATTTTACAAATAGTAAAATTTGAGGCCAAAGTTGGAAGAATTTTACCGATTCCACAATACTGATCATAAGACATTGAAATTATACGTATAAATAAGCTTAAAAAAAGGCAATTATAGGATATCTGCATGTCCTAAATCAGAAATCACAAACTGGTGGACTGCAGGCCAGATACAGCCCATTGAAGCTTCATATCCGGGCCTACGGCCTCATTTTCTTTTTTAATGATTAATGTTTCTAACATCTTGCGGGGATTAAAACACAGAAAAAATTCAAACTTCTGTTTACAAGTTGTAATGGCCTGGAAACAATAAGGCCTTTGTTAGTGCCTTTCTTTTAGTTTACAGTATGTTTTGGTTTACCAAATAATAATGAATATTGTTTGGATCTGAAAAACATGTATTTGACTGGCCGTTTGCTGCGTTTGAGTTTGTTGTCCCAAATTCATTAACTTATACCAGTATATTTGATGTGGTTGATAAAAAACAAATGACGATAAATTCTCTATTTGAAAATAATTTTTAAAAAGACATAGTACACGAATGAATTTTACTCAAAACACCTTTTTAACCTGAAATAATTCAAATATTTTTTTTGCTATCTTTATTTAACGCTTCTTCATTCCTTCCCGTAGAAGGAGTACAGGGAAAACAAAGTTGTACAAAATTACAAAGTTACTCTGACAATCACTTTAACAGTATACATGAAATAGTGTTTTATCGATATATATAATATATTAAATATATATATATCGATATATATATTATATATATAATATATATATAATCAGCAATAGTCGTATATTTATATAGCAATTTTACAAATTTCTGTAATTAATCGATAACATGGGGAAAAAATTTCTGCCTAAATAGAACATTTGACAAATATTGCAAAAAACACATTTAATATCTAAACTGGAATAATGATAAATGACTCGTGTAAAATCTAAAAATCTCTTAGAATTCAACATTATTAAATTATAATTTCTTTATTTTTTCTGTTTTTGCATTCACGGAGAGCTGTCGACCTCCACCACATCCTCTACACGCCGTTCGCCGGGTAATATGCCGTAGTGCAAGATGTTTCCTTTCCTGTAGGCCCAAGACATTTGGGTGGTGGTGAAGTAGATTCCCACGTCTCCGAAATTGCTGACGGCTATTGCGCCTCCATAACCCTGAACGCGGTTCTTCATGTGTTCTAATCCCGCAATGACTGCATCTTGGGCATTCATGCCTGCAACGTCAAACTGTGAGAGAGACTGTGACAGACAACTTAATGTGGTGATTTCCAAACTTTTTTGAGCTACCGCTCCCTCTTGGTTTCATAAACTTATACCAAACGCCATCCAATTGTATCCAAATGACCCCTAACCTGTGAGGGGACATTTTCCCTTATGTGAGAAAGACTTGAAAATATTCTTAGAAAACCTTTTCTACGAACCTCACACTGTCCTTATGTTGTTCTCCACATTTGGAAACCATTAAATACAATGTTTCTTCTTACACATTTTAATAAGAGGAAAGAGAAAGATTGTTGGTGATCCCCAACCCTTGTATATGGTCACCATTTAGTCAGGATCTTGACTGCCGTCCCCTAGGGGGCGGTAGGACCCACTTTGGAAACCACCAACTTAATGCTTGGATACATACCTTGTTGCATGAGTCCCGTTATGTGTCTCGAGAGGCACACCCTCATGATGGCTTCTCCGTGCCCTGTTGTTGAAACTGCACCCACGAAATCATCTGCAAAGCCACCCGAGCCGATGAGAGGTGTGTCGCCTACCCGACCGTTGAGTTTTCCTGTCAGTCCGCCTGTGGAAGTGGCACACGCGACCCTCCCAAGAGAGTCAACAGCTACTGCACCTACTGTATCATGATCACTGCAAAAAAAATGGAGTTAATATTTATATATAATTGTTGTTTTTAAATTCATAAATATACTTTACTTGGCATTAATAGATTGGTTGACAGTATTTGTAAATGTTTTGTATTCACTCAAACGTTCTCTTGACCAGTCCGTTATCAATTTTTCAGTTGGCACCACTGGTAGACCCATTTGTTGAGCAAACTGTTGAGCACCATCTTTGATCATAAAAACGTGATCTGTCTGCAAAAATACATATATTTGTAATTAAACACTTTGCATTTATCATCTAGCCAACAACTTTTTTACCCAAATGCAATAATTTGAAGAGTGATATAGTTGGCAAAAAGGTTCTCTAGTATTGTGAAAAGATTAACAAAGCTACAGGGTGTCTCATAAGTCAGATGTTATAGGCAAAATAGCTGTTCAGATGTTTGATGCAATTACCATCCTGTTGCATATACATTTTCAGACAGATGATACAATTGCACGCCTTGCAAAATGTCAGGGATCATAACATGACATGCCAGCATGAATGTGGCCTTCAAATAGATGTAACAGTTTACCTATGGTGTGTAACTGTAATCATCACTCCCCAAATTATCACATATATATTCCTATGACAGTAATGTGACTTTTGGCATGAATATTGTGAGTATATTCACACACTTAGAATTTGAACATACTAAAATCAGACAGCCATAAATACTAAAAACATTTTTTTTAACAATTGAAGGCTCGTGATAAATAATGATGAAAGCCAAATTCTCATAATAAGTTGCGCACTGTGAAATGATGCAATAAATAGAAACTTTACTATTTAAAAATCTGACTGGTTATTGTAAAAAATGCTTTCAACTTTCAACTCCATGGGAAAAAACATTGCACGTGCACAGAAAATGGTAAACAAGCAGACATTCACTCTCACCTCTTCAGAGCTGCAAATGCAAAATTTAGGAGAGAGGAGACATCATCAACTCTCAAATTGGAATCATAAGAAATTAAAAATGCAGAGGAACTCAAGAAATGAATATTTGTCACACAGTGGATAAATTAAACCAGTTGTAAAGTCCCGAGTGAGTTAAGTGGAAAAATATTGCATATGCAATGCTGCAAATTTTGTAGCATGGAGCATGCAATGAAAGATGACAAAGCACCTCAGTATTTTAGAAAATTTTTTTTATGAGTCCCAAACCATCCAAAAATTACCTCAGCAATATAGGTTCAGACTTCATCTGAGAATAAGACACTCCAGTAATGATATACAGCCAAGAGATGCATTTTCCCCCTACTGCCTTTGACAAGAAGTCATACACACAAGGAAGTTATAAACACTGCGTGCAACATGTGCACTTACAACTTTTTCCCATTACATAGAATGCTTTATTGTCATTTTCTAAAGTATTTTGCAATGAAAAGACCTATTTTTTGCAACAATGTCATTCATACATCTAACTAAAACCAGTCATTGTTTCAACTGCTCCAGTGCAATTTAAGGGTTTTCTGGTTTATGCATTTTTCCAGAAATATTACTTTGAACGCTCACTTTGAATAACATTGCAAATACCAATCTGATATATATATATATAATATTATAATAATGTAAATTCTTACTTTCTCCATGATTTTTTTTGCTAATGTAACAGGATTCGGAACACCTGTGACTCCTCCCACAGCACCGGCTCTCATTCGAGTACCTTCCATGACAAGCGCATCCATTTCAATATCTCCATTAATTGTGAGGGAAGATCCATAACCTGAATTAAAGAACAGTTTTAATATTCTAATTTTCACAGTTATACAAATGGTTATTAAAAAACACCTGGAGATGATAACCAATTTGTGTTTTTGTTGTACTGTACATTAAGAGATGATATATAGTCTTTTATACTTTTAACAAAATATACTTTTGAGTAAATTATAATAGCTTTTTGTCTAAGAATCAAATTTAATCTATCTAATTTCAGTTTAATCTATTTTATGATGCTGGAAATATCATCATGATAGTAATTAAAGTATGAAACTCATATTATCTTAAATAAAATGTCTTGAAACTCTGTAATCATATATATCATTAAAACTATGTTCACATTGACATATGAACTGCCAATTTGTATCCTTTTGCCAACTGTTCATTCAGTTTGTTAAGTTAAATGTATCTGTTATATAGGTTAATAAATTAAATTAACATTAAATTAATTAACTATTAAATTTAATGTATACACGAGTCAAGTGTGTAGAGTGGTGAGAAAAGAGACCACCATGTTCGGAGCTCTGGAGAACCAGTGAAATGTAGCAGTGTTCAGTTGTGTGTGAATAAAGAGTTGTCTGTATTACCTGATCAGTGTTATCGTATTACAGAGACATTTGTAACATGGTGGCAGCATAGAGGATAATGTATCAAATCCCAGAGCCAGAGTGTTTAATTTTCATCTCAAAGATTGGAGAGCATGGATAGGGCAATTTGAATGATTTTGAACAGCGGAAACTGACCAGGTAAATTCTTTCATATATTTAATGGGACAGAAAGCCGAGGAAATTTTGGCGTCATTTAGTCTCCCAGAAGAGGATAGAAATGACTATTCCAAAGTTAAGGCAGCATTTGAAAAATATTTCATCCCAACTAAAAACGTTATATAAAAAGATAAATTCTATTCTCAGTTTCAAGAAGGAGAAACAGTGGAGAATTTCGTAACTTCATTATATAGTCTTGTTAAAACGTGATTTTCCCTGCTTCGTTTCAAGACAAAATGATTAGGGACAAATAGTTTGCAGCATTAAAGATAAAAAGATCTCGGAACATTTGCAACTAGAAACAGAACTAACTTTGAAAAAAGCAATAAACACTGAGACAGACGGAAACAGTGAAAAAGCAGCAGGAAGCTTTTAAGAACAATTCCGGGACTAACATATATGCATTAGGCAAAACTGCACGTAGGAAGAACATATTTTTGAAGCCGGAAGCTACCGACAGTTCATTTACCGGAAACAAAACTTCAAATTCCTTTTATTGGTGAAGAAAACCTTTGAAACATACTAAACTAAATTGCTCTGCACGTAAGGCAGTGTGTAATAAGTGCAAAAAAAGTAGGTCATTATGCAAAGGTCTGTAAAGCTAAAGTGAGTATAAATAAAACAGAAGAACCTAACCAAAAGTCATTTTTGGGCATGTTAAAGGGTCGGGTAATATTAACAGTAGTGTTAAGAAACAGCCCAATCAGTGGAGACATCCCTTTAAACTTCAAGATTGACATAGGCAGACGTCACAGTTATGCCACATGACACACAACAGTGCTATCTCATGTTAAATTATGAGAAACAAATAGATCTATACGCAGCCCTGGAAAGAAAACACTGGATGTTGTGGGAGTGTTTATGGAGAAGCTAAGAAATAAGAGATTCCTCATCCAAGAAGACATATATGTTATCAATAAACTAGAATGTTCCTTGTTGAGTGATAAAGCAAGTGAACAGTTAAATCTTGTTAAAAGACTACAGGAACTAAACTCTGCTTTCAATTCACTTAAAGAATTCTCCAACCTATTTCATGGGATTGGAGAAGTACAGAAACCCTATCACATGTTGAAATTTTTCTCCATTGAGTGTGGTTGCCATGTTGAATTTTTGTCGATGTTGAAAATTTTTTTTTAAATAATAATCGTGGCTACTGTATTGTTAAAAATTATTTTTTTTTATTTTGCACAAACAAAATAAATGTATTGAAAAATATGAAAACAAAAAAATTATATTATTATTTTTAAAGTTCGTTTTAATATAAAAATTATGTTGCATAGCAACATCTAGTATCAAAAACGTACAGATACTGTAACGAGATATATTGGGTTTAACCCTGCGGGTCAAAGGTCACGACCCCGAAATATGTCGAGAATAACAAAGGTGAGGTTAAACCAGAAGCAAAGCCTTAAGCCCTGGCCGTTGCTCGAAAAGTACGGACAGCTTTCATTCTGCTACTGATATTCAAATATACAATAGCAATCTTATCTTTTTTTCACATTTAGTATAGAAATTTGTAATATGTTACATAATGCGGTTATAATAAAATATTAATTTTAATTAATTCAAAGTATGTTAAAATATGAAAATAATTGCACAATATGTATTTATATTTTAGAAAATACAAGGGAAGCAACGCTTCCACCACTTCCAAGGACAGCACGCTACTGATCTGGGGTGGGCCAAAGAAACAAGAAAATTTCTTGTTGGGTTTTGAATGGTTATGAAAAATAAGACATACCTGTTGTGTACAGTACTCATTTGAAGTATGATATATGTTGAAAGGGGAGACAATTTGTGGATACGAAAATATTTGGGGTACACATCCCATCTGTCCTATATGGATCTACTTTCTATAGATTCTTATGGATCCATATGGTCAAGCTCTCATCCAATGGATATAATTATTTACTGTTTCTGACAATATCATTTGTTATCTCACAATTATTACATTTGATATACATGTATATACCTATATATGCCTATATGATTTTATAATATAATTAAATGTATTAAGACATTCTTCTTCACATTTGATATGTATTTGTCTTGTATATTAAAAGAATAAAATTACCTGCATTGAAGACATAGTCATCTTCCATGACTCGAACGGCTGCTTCAACCGCATCTAATGCATTTCCTTCGGGAGACAGTAGCACTTCGTAACCCTTGTTGGTGGCGCGTTTGACTCCGTCTATCTTCAGCGTGATCTTATTCAAGGGTACTGCGCCCGCACCACCGTGGACCACGAGCACAGGCATCGTATGCTTCTTCACTGTAGGTGATCGAATATGCTTTCGTGAAAATCGTGGAGAACCACGTGGCGAAGAGCAAGGAGAAGAACGGGGAGAATTTAATGGAGAGGGACGTGGACGAACGGAAGTCGACATTTTGACGGATGGCACAAACAGCGTACAGAGTCAATACAAATGTTAAAAAGCAAGAGTAAATAGTGTCTTCACTTAGTAGAAAAAAAATTTGTAAAGTTTGGTTGGATATGTTAGTCACACTGAGCAGAGTAGAAATCAGCTGTTAGAATGATGAGGTTTTTGAAGATGTTAGAAGAATTATACATCAACAAAAAGAACTGCTGAAAAAGTTAGCAGATAATAGAATTATAAAGATTAGTACAGTTAAATTATTATTAAGAGAAGGATTTAATGACAAATTAAATCACCAAATATGTAAACACATCATCATAAACAGTGGGATGCAACTCCCATGACCTTTCAAACTAGGAACGACATTTTAACATCAATGCCAATCGGCCACATTTATTAAAATGCCATTTCAGGTTTGACAATGTAAACACGGTATTAAGAATTAAAGCACATTATTCATTAAATCCTCAAAATTATGAAATGGAAATAGTTTTAAATATTTGTTATAATAAATTAATAGAAAGTATAAAGATTGCTTGCAGCACAGATGATTAAAAGCTAGGTTCACACTGGTGTAGGGACTTCTGCAGAGAAGATATGAACTGCCGGTTTGTGCCCTTTCAGCTACCATTTGACTAGTTTGTTCAAAGTCGAATGTGTCTTGACTTTTGACAAACTTCCATCAGTTCAACCAATCAAATTTTCAAGATTAGTATTCAAAACCTTTTCAACCAATCATGTTCTAACTTGGTTTGTCTGACTTGCTACAGCAAACGACATTTCATTTCAACATTTATAGTGGTTCATAAGACATTTATTTATTATTTATTAGCACAATGTGCAGCCTAGCTCTGCATAAGCATACGACAGTGTGAACCTAGCTTAACTGCATTAAGATTAGTACAGAGTATAAAAGTAAACAAAAAATACTTGATTATATTTAAAAAAAATTAGGCTATCTCATTCATTAATTACCAGCATTAAGTGATACTAATGGCAATCCCTGTTAAATTTTGTCATATCTACTAAATTAAAAAAACTTTTAAACTATTAAATTTAAAAAACTGCCTTTTATTAATAAATAAACAATTATATCTATTTCATTTGCTTAAAAAACAAATGTCAAAAGGGGCCTGCTTTACTCTAGGCTCCATAAAAGCTCTCAATGGCCTTGGTCACATTACTATTTAAACAATCACAGTTCAATCAACCTATTACCAGAGATGGCCCCCAAATTATTACATGTTATATCACTCACACTGTGCACACTCACTATCACATGCTAAATAAAACACATTAGTCTATTATAAGTACTATCAGGTGTGTTTTCTTATTGCTTTTTTTGAGATAGTTTCTGAGATTTTTAATCATGCTACCAATACAGGTCATGTGATTGTACAAGAAAGTTTTCCGGAAAAATATACACTTCTAGACTCACAAAAACATGGCTGCCTCCAAACACATTGAAATTGCATTAGTATGACCATTATTGTCGCTTCTCTAGAGTTTTGCTAGAGCTTCAGAGACATCTCTGATACCTCCAAGTAAATAAGAAAATAGTATACTCTCTTCAAGATAAGAGATGTGAAAAAAGGAATTAAAAAACATTTTTGTCATCTCAGAGACTACAAAACACTCATCATTATTATATTTTCTCTCTAATTATGTAATTAATGCTTTTACAACTGTCTGGTATCTGTAAAATATAAGTATATATTCTGTGCAAGTGCAGTAATGTGGCCTATACTATCCATGCCATAAAAATATGCCAAATACATTACAAAGAGCAATGGGTAGCCAGCATCAATTAATGCTAGGACATTCTCCTGTAACTGACACATTAGTGTATAACTGTATTAGAATTAAAGATAATTAGGATGTCTGATATAGATTTAGAGAGATCAGACTCAAGAGATTTTAAGAAGTAGTTATTAGGAAACCTACATTAGAAAAAGGACTAGCTAATAGTCTCAGTAAAAGGATAGAACAACAAAAACTCCTTACTTACATGGGCTGATGTCAGTGTATAGGTTAAGTAGATAAGATAAACTGTTATAGAAAGATAATTAGGAGTGAATGATAAATAAAGATAAATAGGTCAATCTGATAATTTTGAACATTATCTTTCATTTTAATAAAAAAAAGAAAAAGCATTTATTTTTTGTGAAGATTAACAATAGAATCAACATTTGCACTTTGACAACTAGTGGAAAAATACAGGATGAAGAGAATTTGGGGATTTATGATAAAATTCTAATATTAATTGAACAAAGCTTAGGTATTTTTCAGAAAACAATTGGAAAAAACTAAAAGTTATAATATAGATCTATTTTTTTTTCTTTTTTTTTTTTGTTAATTTCTTTTCTACCCTGAATATTTCTATATGTCAAAAGAAATTTTGTCCTGAAATTTTAAGAAAATCTCTCTCATTCTCAAACAATTAAAATTCTCTTAATAAGTTCAACTGGAGCTTCCATGATTAATTGATTTAAAGTGCCATTGCACATCATATCATCAATTATGTAACTTGTTTTTCAAGTGTTAAAACATTAAAAAATACCACACAATAGTACATGGCAACTCTGTATTGATAGATGCTATCATCATCAAACTATTTTTTATATTTCTCTTATTAAATAATAATCATAATAATCAAAGTATTGAATTGTAGCAGAGTAACCCTCAAAGTCCACTACTGGCTACTTATACTCCACAAAATTGCATTCAGTTATTATATAGCAGAAGCAAAATATTGCCTGATGCAATGTATGTCTACACGTTGTGTATCTTCATTATATGTGTTTCTTATCTTGCCACTTTACACTCTTTATGGTTGTGTTTAGATGTTTTGTTGCTTATATACATTTCAATTATGTTGTTGATTATCTTTTATAATTCAGAAAAAAGGAATTACAATACAGCTCCAGTTGTATTTGCAGTTCAACCTAATAAGATCCTTTAAAAACAATTAAAGGTCATTTTGCTTGTTTTCAAAATAAAGTTATAGATGGCACCCTCTAATAGTAAGTGCGCTATATATTATAGGAAGAAAAAAACTTATTGTGAACTGAAAAATTATACATTCTATTCAGTATTGTTTTTGTGTTAAAATAGTATGAGCCACTATGCATCTGCAAGTGTGCACAAGTGTCGAGTGTTGTGCTGTTATTCAAATAATAATAATAATAAAGTAAAAAGTTACTAAATTTATTCCATTAATAGTTGCCATCTAATCATAGTTGCACCCAATTCTCAAAGAATAATTACCTTCTAATAAACAGCATAGTTGCAAGTTGAAGAAAGTTATAGACAGCACACTTATTATTAAAATAAATAGTGTGTTGTGTGTGTGTACATATATATATATATATATATATATGTATATTGGTCCAACATATTTGAATCTATGTTTCATTTTAGTTATGCAGACCTGATGATAATCTGTATTTAGATTAAAAGTGTTCAAGTAAAAAATAATTTTCTACTAGTTTGAAGTGGATTCTCTTATTAATATTCTAATTAATGTCTCATTAAACTGACAAATTAGTACCTTTTGCTTCTTACTTCTTTCCAGCACAGTTTATTAGTTCAAATGTTTGTTTGAACTAATAAACTACATGCTGGAAAACAGTGAAAGGTACTAATTTGAATAATGTTCCAGCTTCGTTGATATCATTTTTAAACTGACAAATTTGTAATTAAAGATAAAAAATTAAAAATAAGAGGAATTACCTTCTACCAAACAGATGGCAATACTAAATAATGCTAGATGCAATTGCCACTGAAACAAATTGTTTAACATTGTTCTAGGGGAGATTTAACAAAATCAACAAGTCATACCCACAGTATTATGTAAGTCACACTTCTTGCACTCCATATACCTTTTATAAACAGACTAAATATTCATTTACATTATTTATAAAACTTTATCTAAGACTTTGTAGCTGTCGACAAAGTTCTTTCATTGTGTAAAGCTAATAAATTAACTCAAATTTATCTACTATTTAGAGGATAATATTTTATTTCAATTTATATAGAAAAATTTTTTTATAATTGTTATCAAATCGTAAGCATACCCGGTACATGCTTACGTGCTTAGTAGCCTGCAATACATTTAAATACATTTTAAGAATATCATTTTAGATTTTAACATTAATTTTCTTGCCACTATATGCTTTAAAGAAAATTAAACTTAATAAGAATTATTCATTGATAGGATTAAAAAAAAAAACAGTAATTTTAAAAGATGAATTTCTGAATATTTGTTATCATTAAAATGTAATATCTTCTAACATATACAAAAGGACAAACTTGTATACATTAATCACATACCAAAGCAATTTGGATCAACTAATGACAATGAATTCATGATTATAATGATCATTTTTGCTTAATTATCAATTTTTCTGATTTCGTTTAAAGGCTGGTTCTCAACAGTTTACCAATCTGGAAGCAGTAATGTTACATTACCACAGCACACCACTTATGGAAAGGCTGGATTGACATTGAATGATATCAGTTTAAATGACAATTTCACATTGGTAATACTTAATTTTTCTACTTGCCATCACAGTAAAAACTGATCTCAGTAAACTGTAAACACACCTCTTTTCCACTGCAGTCTGATATTGTGATGTTACTGTGTCATGGCTTTGCCACTTACAATCACAGATTCCGTCACAGAACCAACCTTACAATTAGAAATCCTATTTTGCATCATAAATTAATGTGTTCCAAGTGTGTACATTATAAATTGCAAATATCCATATTTTACCCAAGAAAACATGACTGTGTTAAGATTTGGCTGTGTATTGTTCTCCACAATGGAGCAAAGAGTATTTTTTGTCACAGTATTCTTAAAAATAGCTACTTGAAGGAAACAAGACATACATATACAGCTGATTACCACTTTATCACTGCTTGTTTTACAATCTCCTGTTATATATTTCATCTCTGTATAGTATTATGTGGTTATCTTTATATATTTTGAGGCTAGTTGGCAACACTAAATGTAATGATTTGCCTACCAAATTTAGCCATGTTATAAGATTTTTTTCCTAGGTTATATTGGCATGTCTGAACATAGTTATATGCCAATATTTGAACCAAGGGAAGACAAGTTGCTATGCACACTTGTGTTTTTTTTTTTTTTTTTGAAGATTTTGATGGCTTTATAACAGGTAAAGCCATTTGCATGAATAAGTAATTCTAGTGTATCACATACTGATGCAAACTGCTTATAAAAGACACAAAAACTACATGGTAAATAGCATTTTATTAAAAAGTACACATAGCAACTTCAAGTCTTCTCTTGTGAGAAAAAGGATTTATATCAAAAGACATCAAAAATTACATTGCATTGCAAATTATCATAAAAATCTATGGAATGATAAAAAAAAACTGATTATTCTTGCATTGTACGAGGGCTATTTTTAAATAAGGTCCGCTTTTTAATAAGAAGAAAAATACTGTAAATATCATTAAAATATATTTTTCTACATAATTTCTATTTTTGTTCAAACATTTGTCATACCTCTCAAAAACTTTTTTAATTCCGACTTCAAAGAAATCTGCCGTTTGTTGTCAGAAGACATTAGGACACGCCGCTTGACTTGTATGGCACAGCAGAGTTTTCTCAAGGTCACAATAAGCATCAGAATTGATTGTTGTGCCTCATGGAATAAAATCCACTAGCAAAGACCCTTTCCTGTCCCAAAAGACAGTTACCATGATCTTTCGTGCTTAAATCGAATAACAGATCGTATCTTACAGTCGGTGGGCGACTCAATTTCTTGAACATTATAAACTTCTACAGTTCAGCACACAGACAGATGATACGACTACAAATGGCATCTAAACACGCGTAAAGCATGCTGAAAGCAGATGCTTATGCACACTGCTGCAATTGCGCGTCATTCTCATTCACAAACGAACCTTATTTAAAAAATAGCCCTCGTAATATTGATACCCAAAATGTAAGCATACAATGATTTTCCTGATAACTACACAGAATGAACTATACTTAAAAAAGCATTATAAATTAGTTTATGATGCTTCTTAACTATCTCCAAAGAGTTAAGAGAACCATTAGACGGAGTCAACTTTTTCTCAAAGATTTTTAATGCTAACAAATACAAAAACATCTGTAAGATACAAACCATGGAATATAAAATAGGAAATAAAATATTAGTTACCGTTACTTTTGTTCTATCTTCTTTTTAAGAGAGTTTCTGCAAGGAAAATCAATAATAATGATTAAAATTACATTCTTTTGAAAAATTTTATATACATATTTATATTTTTTTCCAGAAAATAAAACAGGGATTACAAGTTTGGATTGTAATTTTGCCCAATTTGCCTAAAATTTTCTAAATTTAATAATTAAATTATGTAAACTAATTTAAGTTATTGATGAGTAGCAATATACTTACTCATTACATCAAGTTTTCTAATGATTAAACGATAAATTTTGGCTACAAAAGATAAATTTCTGGAGAAGAAACTTAAAGACTAGTTTACATACCAATACTGCTGGCATTTTGATGCTCAAAACTGCAATATGCATGGATTTGCCTTTCATATTGCAGGTTATGAGATTGAATTTACATATTAGATCATATACTTACCATTCTCAAGAGAAATGAATGCTCTTGTGCATGCTCCAAACAACTCAAGTCATATTCTATTACATGGTATAAGCATTTGACTTGACAACATATCTGAATGTTTTTGGATGCAATAAAATGTCAGCAATAGTAGTATTGTGTAAATCAGTCTTAAGGAACTGGTTTACATGATATAATTCACAATTAAAGCAATGAAATGTGATTTTAGGAAAGATATGAAAGTAAAAATACATTATAAAGGAAATATAAAGTCAACAACATGAGTTATTTAGACACACAAATTAAATTACTGATAAGAGGAATCCCTGGGAAGGAAGACAATACATTGGTCCTTTTCTTCCTAACGTCATTTCAATTATAACATCTTAATTGAGCAGAGCTCTGCATAAATTGAAAAGTATTTTGTCTGCGATTGAAGTTTAAAGCAACTGCACAACCACTAAACATGATTTTTTATAAATGTATACAACTTGGCAAGACCATATCACGAAGCCAGAATTTTGAAATTTGATCCATGGGCTGTGAGATATTTAAGTCAAAGTTTACATTGTAAAGTCTACAGGCTGATTGTCAGTTGTAAGCTGGTTGTACAATACATGTCAAACCTATGCCAAACAATTCAGTTTTGTTTTTCTAGAAAATACCTGTTTATATTACACAGCCAGAAGAATGACTTAGATCAGGGCTTCTTAAACTATGGGTCGCGACCCCATTTGGGGTCACTTAGCGAAATCTTGGGTCGAGAGATTTTAATGCAAAATTTTGGAAATAATTGATGAGAGTTTGAAAATGAGTTTGAAAGTGAGGCATGCTTTGTGTCATAAGTTTCGTGAGTTGCGCTTTGTGTCACTTCTGGTGCAGCAAGACAATGATTCAACAACACTGATTATAGTGTGAACTAGTGTAGTGTTGTCACTTTTCAGCATATTTAGTTGTCTCCGTTCCATTGTAACACAAGAGTGAACTGTGGTAGCACACCATTGTTTTTGCAAATTTGTTTATATCTTTATTTTATATTTTTGGGTCGCGAAAAAAATCACAATCATAAATGGGGTCGTGAATAAAAAAAGTTTAAGAAGCCCTGACTTAGATGAAGTGATGTTAGAAAGAAACCTAAACCTATTAATATGCAAAACATAAATACTGTGCAAGAAAGGATGAATTAGCCATACGAAGTCCACTGTATGTACATACAGTGCCAGTACATACATATTACCAATTAATAGTACATCTATGCACTGGTAATGATGGTGATCTGGATGGGGTTCTGAGAAATATAACTTTATCATTAAGCAAGAACCATAAAGCAGAGGTTCCCAATTTATTTTAATTGCAAACCCTTTCACTTTGATAAAAAGTTTTGGTAAGAACTCAACAAGTGATGGGAGAATCAAATGAATTTGATTCTTTTGTTGATTTAGCAATTTTAAAATGTATTCGAATATTACTACCCCATGGCAACAGTTTCTCTGACAGAAATGAATATTTTATTAGTTGAATGCAAAGAATTGAATATCAGAAATGAATCAAATAAATGATTCAATTCTTACACCATTAAACTCTATGGATTTTAATTTCACAAATGTGAGCTGTGCAGTGTGTGAATAGGTTCCTTTTTATGGAATTTTTGAAATTTTATTTAAAATAGATACTATTACTTATATGAAACTATTAATTATAGCTCAAAAACTTATTTTATTGACAGAACCTTAAGGTTTCCCAACTTATGTGGATCACCACCATAGTGTACATAGACAAACCTTATATAGTATAGTTATTACTTATATAAGCTATATCTAAACACAGAAAAGGTACAGGCAGTTACAAATTTTTCATCTCCTTTATAATCTTACAGTACTTCTACCATATTATGACAGCTACTGTAACAACGGACCACATACATCATATATGGTCCATCATTACGGATCACATACTTGTACACAATAATTTGGCATATCTTTATTAGTAGCATTTAAGTTTGTATGGGTTTTTATTATGTTTATTGCTGGAAGTTCATAATTTTCTATATAAAACCACAAATATGCAATACTACCCAGACTTATCAGTTCATTATTTCATTAATTAGTTATTAAAGTATAGTGTAAAACGAATTTATATGAAATAGAATCTTTCTGATCACAAAAGCACTTGTGAAGATGAATTAGGAAATTCCACATCTACTAAATAACCTGAAGATCCAAAGATGAAATGGAAGAATTTTAAAATGTTTCTTCATAGATTTATAGCCACTATAACAATAATCAATATCAAAGCTCAAAACACTTTCACAATTCTTAGTGGCCTAGACCAGAAACACAAAGAACCTGGTTGAAAAATTCAAAATTCCATTTAATACCCAACATTTTATTAGTGCACATTATCCAAACTGATGTATGTTTTCACCATAATGGCCTTGGACCGATTCCAGTTAACTGCCAAATGAAAAAATACAGTAAAATGCATCTTGTATTGTAGATACCTAAATTGGTGTTGTGTAATTCGTGAGACTTAGCAAATCTGAAGTTTGGACAATATGCCAAACATGGCCATGCAGTATAACATGTATGTATCACAAACATTTTGCCACCAACAACATTTAAATAGACAGCACTAATACATCAATAGTACATACATAACACATAACTGGCTGCCTACCTGTTGTTGACTTTGGTTGTTGTCTGTCAGTCCATAAGTGACAATTACATATCAGTCAAATTAAATCTCCTTTCCTCTGTAGTGTCAATAACAATGCTGAATTGCTGCAAATACATTGAAAAAACTATTTTCCAGACCATCTTATATAAATTAGATAAATTAATGACTCATTGGCCAAAAAATTTCTAATTGTTGTTTTCAATTGGGTCATTATAGAAAATCCCATTTTTTGCGGTAGAAGTGAAAGGTCATTAGCTTGATATGGATCAAAACATAATTGATGTCTTTGGGTGGCAATCTTGGGATTCATGTATATGTGGGGGACCCAAAAATAATGGGAATAATTTTGTGGAATGCGGGAAGTTCATAGTGCACGTATCTGCCGCTAGATGTCAGTAGACGGAATTCTCCAGAATCAGTATTTAAAGCAGTGTCGGCGTATCAAGACTTTTTGGCCCATAGGGATTTTTTTTTGTGAAAGCTGTTTTCTGTTTTCATCAAAAATGCGATGTCAGATTTTAAAGAGCAACGTGCTGCTGTAAAATTTTTTTTCCTATTAGGGAAAAGTGGATCGGAAATGGTTGAAATGATTCGACGTGCTTATAAACAAGATGCATAAGTAAGATAAGGGTTTACAAGCGGGTTTTCCCATTTTCAAAAAGGAGATATGTCTCTTGAAGATCAATCCAGATCTGGGTGTCCATCCAATGTTCAAACTGACAAAAATGTTGGGAAAATTCGCAATCTCATCAACAAAGATCGCCGTTGAATCAGTGATGAACTCATTGATTTGTCTGGGATTTCATGGAGTTTGATTCAGTAAAATTTGTCACAAGAACTTGACATGAGAGAAGAGTTTCCACAAAGTTTGTTCACGCTTGTTGACCGCCGATCAGAAAGGCAATCGCTTGGCAAATGTACTTTCAAAGCCTGACAGGCTTTGAAAGTACATTTAGAAAATGATCCAGGATTGTTTTCTAAGATAAATAACTGGTGATGAATCATGGTGTTATGGTTAAGATCTGGAAACCAAACATCAATCCAGCCAGTGGAAAATATCAAGATCTCCTCATCCCAAAAAAGCAAGACAAGTGAAGTCAAATGTGAAAATCATGTTATTCTGTTTTTTTTGATGTGGAAGGACTTGTTCATTTCGAATTCATCCATCCAAGTCAAACAGTCACTCAACATTGTTATTGGAAGTCCTCAAAAGACTTTGTGATGCTGTGAGAAGGAAAAGAAAAGACTTGTGTCAAACAGGGATTGGCTTTTCCATCACGACAATACTACTACTCACACGGTGCTCTCCATGCAGCAGTTTTTGACAAGAGACAGCATGACCTTTCTCCCCCACCTTCCCTATTTGCCTGATCTTGCACCTTGCAATTTTTTTCGGTTCCCCGGGATAAAGAGAAAACTCAAGGAAAAGAAACTTCAAACAGTAGAAGAGGTGAAAACAAAACAACTGAGGTGCTAAGAGGCATTTCGGAACAGGAATTTTCTAGGTGTTTTGAACAATGGAAAAAACATATTGGACAAGTGTATTGAGGATAATGGAGAGTATTTTGAAGGAAATTAAAATATGAAGTTGTTAAAATAAATACACAATTTTTTCTGAATTTTTTCCCATTATTTTTGAGTCCCTCTATGTATTTCTACTTCCTATTGTTTTTCATCTTTAATCAAGCAACAGTCAGTTTGAACGGCATCAATTGTTCTTACAACCATACATTTCTTCCTCTGCGGGTACATCCTTATAATAGCCACAATATCGGTCTGTTTTATCATTGCCAAATACACAAAATTCATTTTTATCTAAAGGCCTGAAGGTGAAGTCAAACACTTCTAAGAACTGAAAGTGACTTATCTTTTATGGATTAAAATCTGTTTTCAATGGCATTAGACAAATGCATAAGAAACTCTCAGTTCAAATTGTTTTCCCTGCATAA